ATGTACTGCTCCAGCTCCTTTTATCTCTGCTGATTTTGGGTTGGTTTTTGTTTGGTTGGTTAGGTCGTGTTTTGGTTTTTTGGGTGTTTTTGTTTTTGGTCACATGACTAAATCAGCAGGTGTTGAGAAGTTCTGTTAGTGAGTGAAATATTTTGTGCCCTGATTTCGAGCCTTGTTTTCACAAGGGAAATGGGCAGATTACAAATTGTGTGGAAGAGAGGAACAATAAAGGGTTCAGCTGTGGAACAGAGTGCTTTGTGGTATGTAATTCTCTACAAGAGGGTACTAAATGGCAGCTTGGTTATCTAATCAGGTACATGTCTATGGTGTAAATTGTGTGAGAACAAGTGACTTAACCTGTCTTCACAGCTGGGTAGAGCCACTGGCATGTCAAGGTGAAGTTTATCACATCCTAATACAAACAGCTAAAGAGTATAAATGCCTTTTTCAGGCAGAAAGTCCACACAATATCTCACAGATTCAGAGAATATCCTGAACTGGAAGGGACCCACAATGACCATCAAGCCAACTCCTAAGGCCATCAGGGCGCTGATCCCACAACCTGATCCCACATCCCACGTCAAACCTCCCACTACCAGCCCTGCACCCCAGACACGAGGCCCCCAAAGCTGGCTGCCTTTGCTTTTTCCATCCCTCACTGGTGTGATCCACTGGCCCACACAGACTCCTCCAACTGATATTCTCACCTGGCCCAAAATCATGGGCAGATCAGCTGTGAAGCTGCACTCAGTGAGTTTTCTGGGTAAACTCTCCCCATCCCTTTCCTTGTTTTAGGTACAGGGCTCTGGACTGATTACCTTGGATGTTTTCCTATCTTGTGTGTCTTTTCTGGAATCATGTTTAATTCTCTTACTCTGCATTTAACCTACCCACATGCAGTGCACCGACTACTTCACATTTCAAAAAATCTGTTCCATGGAAATATTTTGCCATAGAGAAAGCAAGTTTTGCCAGCATTTCTCTGAGTTTTAGGTGAGCCTGACACTCTGTTTGAGGTCACAAACTGCCACAAAAACAAAGCTTTTGCTTTTGGATCACAAATCCTTCATAAATGGTTCAGCTGAAGTGTAACAAAACCTTGGTTTACAAAATCATGGGGAGAGAGGAGTGAATAAAATTGAATTAAAATAAATAAATTAAATTTAAAAAAATCTGATTTGAAATACTTAAATAAATCTGGTTTTCTGGCTTATTCCCAGGAAAATGAGGATTCAAGTATGTTCAGGCTGGTTATCTAAAAGCCAAGATACAAGAAATTATTGAAAATTCTTCATATTTTAAAAATTCCTAGAAGTGTTCTGTAGTGGGTATGAGTCTGAAACACAAGTCTTGATTTCAAAACTTTAAAAATTCAAAAGATGATGATGATGAAAAAAGAAAAACTTCAGTAGCAATAAGAAGAGGGAGATTTTCTGGGAACTGTGAATAAAAGCATAGGGAATGTTAATGAAGAAAAGGAAGGGGATAAAGATTACTGTAGAGGTGACTATAATAAAAACAGAAGGTAAATAGAGAACTGAAATAGAATGAAGATGAAATGCAGAGACTCAAGACTGCTGCTCTGTTCCATTAGTTTCATGACTATTTTGTCTTTTATGAGAGAATGCAGAACAGAGATGATCAAATTGTACACAATTAAGGACAAATTTAAGGAAGAAAAAGAAGTCACACAAGTAAAATACTTAGGTTCTATCATTAGAACTGCTTGAATAGTTTGAGTAACTTTGGACACATTAAGCAACTCTTGGTTCTTAGAGACTGTTTTCTGTCATGCTTTATTATCTTCATTGTTGCTAATGATTTATCAAATTATTCTGATAACAATTAACCTCTACAGAAAAGACTTGGAGTGTGAAGTTCATTCTGAGGTTTCCTTTTTTAATAACAAGATCATATTTCCTGTTCACCCTGAACCTATCCTGGCTGTATTCTTCCTTACCAAGCCCAAAGATATTATGAGAGGCATCCCTTTGCTGCTGAGGTAGATGAATATGGCATTTTCACTGAAAAAAAAGCAAATAGCTATTAAAAAGGGTGCCTTCTCCTTGGGTGTGGAACTTTTTAGCTCCTGATATTAGAAGCATCCACTAAAGTAATCAATGTCTGTGGGAACTGTAGGGTTTTTCTACATGAATATTACCAACCTATTTCTTAATTTAAGCATTTAGAAATAGCTATCTTAAAGAAAATCCAGTGGCTGGTTCATATTTCATTAATATGCTGAGTCTTGTGCCGTTCAGCATCATTACATTAGGTTTGTCCCTGGCTTGATTTCACTTCCTGCACAAAATGACAGCAAGGATGTGTTGGGACCAGCCCTATGTACTTTTTTACAATAGGTCCTGAGTGTTCCAACAAATAGCATTGTGTGTCTATTGGACTTCATTGCTTTGTTTACGCCTTTGAAAGAAATTACTAAACATTTTTTAATTAGGATAATTGCAGCCTGAAAAGTTCTTTGTCTGCTCCATGCCATATATTATTTTGAGGTGAAGGGTAGAGGAGAGCAGAAGGGGAACTCATTAAAAGTCTGATTAAAATTCCATGTTGACACACCTGCAAAGAAATATATCTGATGAAATCCTACAACCTTTAAAGCAATGGGAACCCTGGAATGAATTTCAGTAGAGCTGGAATTTTACCCTGTTTGCAGGAGAAGACATGCTGGGCCCAGTTCTTCACCTGGGTTTCTTTGGGAAGGAGTAGAATCATGAAACAGCAAGGGCACCGGCACCATTACAGGCTGCAGTACTGGTAGAATTGGGAAACAGCTTAAATCAGCTTGGAGATCTGGATATTTAATCATGCAAACCCCTCTGTTGAGGCCAAATTTACAGATGGTCAACATGACTCCTGCATACATAATGAGACCACAAGTGATCTGACCGGGTTGTCTCAAAGAAATGCCAAAAAACTTTTTATGCCAGAATTTCACATGTTCTCTCAAAATACTTCAAGACTTACAGGAAGGTGATTTTGTCACAGTTAGAAAATTTTTCTCTAAAACTGTTGCAGGCACTGTTTTTCACATTCCTCCTCTTTTTGCAAATACTTGAGCTGATATTTTAATACCAGATATTTGCTTGTGTGACTCCATTTATAAGAGGGAAAGAATGGGTTAATGTGAGAATAATTTAAAAATCACCTGCAATAGATTTTCCATACATAAGAGCATCTTGATTTTAAGGTCAGAATCCTCTAAGTCAGGAAGTAAATGCTATTATCAAATTAAAGAGTTGTAAGAATCTCCCATTTCCTGACAGAGCAGGCAGTCAATTTCGAGCTCTTGAGTGGCTGGACCCTTCATCTGTCACTGTTCCAAGTCTGAACAGCATTGTTCACTCTGTTCCTGAGGTCAGGGCAATTTGCAGGGGAGGAAGAAGGAAACATTTTTTGGAAGGATTTTAATTAATGAATTTATTTATTGATTTATTTATTTACTTATTTTGCAAAACCTCAAAGGCCTGGAATGGCAATAGGTTGCCCAACAGAGAGTGATAAACCATCAAAATCACAGTAGGGGCCATCAAAATTGGATTGTATGTGTCTTTGTATGAAAAACGAGCTTACAGAGAGCAGGTCAACTCAGAATCCCAGACAGCATTGCCCTGATAGTGCTTCATGTGCCCTCCAGTGCGGAAGCTGTAGGATTTCTGTGGGTGCTGCAGAGACATGCAGACAGCTGAGTTCCTGCCTGCCCCTTGGCTGCCTGCAGGATGCGACCTCAAACCAGGATACCCCTTCCAGATCACAGCCTAAAGATCCCTCTCAGAAGCTCAGGTTCTGAGAGATCATGCACCCTTTTTTCCCTGAGAAGCTGCACTGAAAGGAAAATATGTGTGGTGCATGAGAACAGTGGAGCTGATTTGTCTGGCACTGGATGCCTCAGTCAGCTTCCCTGGCTGCAGGGGATCCCTGCCTCGGGAGCAGGAAGGTGTGCACAGGCAGTGTGGGGCTGTTGGGCAGGGAGCACAGGCACTGGGAGCTCCTGGCACAGTCAGGGATCCCCACTCACTGCATGGCAAACTGCCCTGAGACTGCATCCCCTGGGTGCCACGAGGCACAGAAGCTCATCCAGCCTGTGTTTTGGGGAACAGCCTGCTGAAAGCACACCCACCACAGTGGTAGTGCTGTCACTGTATTGGCTCAGAGATGTAGGTCAGGTAAGGCTTGAAGGCAGAATTAATATTTTTTGTTAGAGCGACTCTAAAAATGGAAAAACTAGAAAACCTTCAGGCACATGAGCCATTCTCCTTGTCTCCACTTCCATGAATTTCTGTGGTTTACATGGATCATCAATTTCAGTGCTAAATACCGCTCTCAAGAAAATTTCTGCCTGCCAGTGGGACACAAGTGTCCTTTTCTCCTTTCTGTGTCTTATATGAGAGTGAAATGGTATTTTCTGCTTTTATCCCTGGCTAAAGATTCGTTTTTAACTTAGTAATGAGTTCTAAATAACTTACAGCTCAAGCACTGGAACTTGGTTCCCAAACCTTTTGCAAACCATGAGCATTCCTGGCTAGGAATGCTTGTCGAGCCTTTTTTAATGAACCTGCCTGAAGTATATATTTCTCTGGATTTTGAAGAGCTCAGAAACAGAGTTTGCTTCTTGCTTTCCCTAACTTCAGCAGCAAGTGCATTTATCATTACTTGAGAGAACCCTTGAGCAGTTAGTGTCTTGGACTGACATTGTATGAAGGTACATTCCTTGCTTTTATGGAGATTAACTATTCAGACAAATATTTGTTCTTGAGATCTTGCAGCTTGTGACTGCTTTCTGTAATAGAATGATATGTTTTCTCTTATCAGAATTTCTGATTACATAAACAAATGAAATAAAGAAAACCTCCATGGGATTTTTTTTTTTACAACTGCTGTCCAACCAGTCTGTAGACAATTGTACACTATGTTTCCATCAAATCTGCAGCTTGAGTTTCTTGGATATTGAAAATACTGATTCTTAAAAAAATTGTTAACAGGATATTTCCAAGTTCCCAGAAAAAGATTATACTCTGCTGGGTGAAGGTGGAATCATTCTGAGTGGAGGTCAACGAGCACGGATCTCACTGGCCAGGTGAGTATTTTGCTCTTCAAGCACTGTACTGCTTCACAGATATGGAATGTATTATGACTAAGCATTTAAATACATGTGGACTATGTCCTGCTAAATAAATATCTTCTGGATATACCAGGAACGTGACTTTACTATCAGAAATCTGAGTTCTGCTATGCAATTTTGTTTATGATACACCTGCATATTAATTTACTGAATTTTAAAAGTTTGATGTCAGACAAATGCTATGGTTTAGCTTAAGATGAATCTTTCCCTCCCTGATGCAAGATTTGGAAATTCTGACCTCTAAGTGTAGCTTTTTATGTACTGCAGAAACCCATAGGAAGATATAAATAAATATTCCAGGACCTTTCTCTGCTATGACAATTCTTCAAAGTGTTCTATATGTTGTTTAATGACATACTTCCCGTCTGCAGGAAAATGGAGGGAAAAAAGAAAGCAGCCATGTTCCAAAACATTTTGTGCCAACACTTTGGGCTTCTCTCTGTCATAAGAAAAAGAAAAAAGTAGAAAGCAGTGACTAGTTAGTATGTATGAATAACTGCCTTGTCTGTTTGACCTTCCAATGTTAGTAAGTAATTCTGAAGGTCTACGGAACAATAACGTAGGTGTTTGTCTTATAAATTAGCTATGTGTTTCAGCAGAATCACTTAGCTATTGTGAGAAATCCAGTAATGACAGCTCTGATGTGTAAATGGCCCCATTTATTTCTGTGCCAAGTGCAAATTGTGTTGATTCCCATGGCCAGAAACGCTGCGTAGAAGTAAAATCACATTATAGCGATCCGTACTGGCATCCCATGAAAGATGTGCACATCTGAGCGAGGCTAAAAGATGAGATCATTAAAATGGAGAATCTTTCAGAGTGGGTTTGTGAGGCTGAAGAGGCATATGGGTGGTTCTGGTTTATGCAGTAAGGGGAAAGAGAAGGGGAAGATCAGGCAAAGCTTTCAAAGCATGTAATCTCACTAAGATTTTAATTTAAAATTTAACATATACACGGACTGTTTCCTAGATGTTATGGATAATCACGTCTGTCACTTTTTGGATGGTCACAGCTTGTTTCCTGGAGGCTCACAGAACTTAGGTATTTATTGTCAGCAGTAGAACAGTAATTTTAAAAACAATTACATGTGACTGTCATAGATTTTGTTTGGGCTCTGGTCCAAGTTCTGTCTGCTACAAGGTGTGTGTGAATTGCAGACAAAGCTCTGAGAAGTTAGGGGTGTAAATTTAGGTTTACAGCCCTGGATTGTACCTAGGTGATAAACTGGACATAATGTTCTTGGAGTAGCTTCATAAACCTATCTGGTGTAGTCTGTGCAAGGCCAAGCGAAATGAGAATCTGAGACAGAAGTGACATCAACCAGCCATCACGAGAAGCAGGTGGAGATTGCATGAGCCTGTCTTTCTTACAGAGCACTGCCATTGCCATTGCAACTGGGGGAAAGAAAGGACCAAGGGGAAAACACAGAGTCCAGTGTCCTGGACTAGAGTCAGCTTGCTGGCCTGGTACCCTAAAGCCAGCAGCTTTGTAGCTACTAAGTGCAACACACAAATTATATCAATAAAACCCTGCAAACTTCTTGCTGATAAAAGCACATAGAGGAGTGTGAATTTTTGTTGCTGTGCAGCCACTACATCATAAAAATGTAAAATGTGAAGTCCATTGTGTTGGAAAATTTTTCAATAAAGTTGCTGGTTTTATTAACATAATGAGCTAATATTGAGGGCTTTTTCTCTTAGTGGTTAAATATTTTCACACTGATTAATACGCTTTAAAAAATACATAAATGCAGCTGGCTGGATTTCTTTATTAATTATACTCTGATTGATATCACATAATGATTTTCATTCTCACAGAGAAAGGCAGGGGGTCTTTTTGAACTTCTTTTAAAATCTTTTTTTAAAGAATCCTCTTAACCAGAGCTTTAGGTCTCAGTGAGCCATGTCCAGGTACATACAACTTAAGGTCCTATTTGATGTATTCAACCCCAAAATGGTACAGCCCCATTGCAAATGATGTTTGCTATGGGACTGTACAATTAATACACTTTTATTTGCTCACCATTTTGTTCTAAGTACCTTTGAAATTAAGTGCTGAGACATAAATATTTTCACATGTTTATTCACACATATGCAATATTCCCCCAGGCACCAGTAGATGTTACAGTAGACATTAAATTCCCATTGAAATGGTCAATGTGCACCAATGAGGACTGTCAGATTCAGGCCATAAACAGATTTCTTTTTACACCGAGTAACCTGTGTAAAAGACAGTTTTGTTTCATTGCACCAAAATTAATGGAAAACTGAGTCAGTTTGTAATGTGGTCTGCAGCAAGAAAAGGCTTAATTAAAAATGTCTTATAAACACATTTCTTGTTAAACTTTAGTTCTAAATGGATGCTGTAGAAAGTCTATCAATTAAAAGATTTGAGGCATTCTTCTTAAATTATATTTAATTTACAAGAGACAAGAAAGTTAATGTAATTTCCATTTTTTTCTGTTCAGGGCAGTGTACAAAGATGCTGATTTGTATCTCCTGGATTCTCCTTTTGGACACTTAGATATTTTTACAGAAAAAGAGATATTTGAAAGGTATTGTATGTTTTGATAGACTGTATTTAAGAATCTCACCAATCAGCACAAAGTAAAATGAAGGAGTTTTAATAGCAGTACAAAAATACTGAAGTGATCCAAATTATGCCTGTTGGGATGTTCATTTTTAGGGTTTCTCATAGAATTATGTTTTAGTATTATGTACATATTTTGAGTATTTTTTGTTAGTAGTAAGACAATGCATTGTGTGGGGAACAAGCCTGGGCCAGGTGTGAGCATTACTGCTCCCTCTTCCACCTTAACATATTGAGCCTGCTGTAATCTTGTGCTCCCAGTGCGTGTGACTTGATATCTGACTTGCCTTTGTATCAGAAAGGCTTTCACTTTAAAATAATTACCTGCCTTGTAAGCATAATTTTTTACAAAAAAGCAATATTTTGACCTGTTTTTCTAATCACTGAATATTGAATCACCTGCAACTGCCTGCTGATGACTGGTGCAGGTTGGCCCAAGTCAGAGATGTTTTGCTTGGCCTTTTGATGAAATTAGTAAGGACACACACTCATCCACTAGCTTTTCAGCCTCTGTAATTTTAAGTTTTGAAATTGGAGTAATACTCCAAAGTCTCAAATCAACAGATCTCAGTAACACTAAGATGAAAAGAAATACTTCATGATGAAGTGTGCCTTTTGGGTTGACCTGAACATGATTAAATTTTACCTCCTTTTTTGGTTCCTGCAATAAAGTACTCACCCTTTAAACATCTCAGCTTTACCACTTCCTTTGTAGTTTGAGATAGCACCCAAGACTGCTCATACTGGGAGAAGGGCAGGTAAAAGCAAATTGAAAGGGATAAAATCATCATTTATTCATGAGAACAAAAAAGTCTAAATGTTCACACTTCCATCTTTTACAGCTGTGTGTGCAAGTTGATGGCGAATAAAACAAGGATCTTGGTTACTTCAAAATTGGAACACTTAAAGATTGCTGACAAAATATTAATCTTACATGAAGGAAGCTGCTATTTCTATGGAACATTTTCTGAACTTCAGGGTCAGCGGCCAGACTTCAGCTCAGAGCTGATGGGATTTGACTCTTTTGATCAGTTCAGCGCAGAGAGAAGAAATTCAATCCTTACTGAGACTCTCCGACGATTTTCCATTGAAGGAGAAGGCATGGGATCGCGCAATGAAATAAAGAAGCAATCTTTTAAACAAAAATCAGATTTGAACGACAAGAGGAGGAACTCAGTGATTATTAACCCCCTTAATGCAAATAGGAAGTTCTCAGTGGTGCAGAAGAACGGGGTGCAGGTCAATAGGATAGAGGACGGGCACAGTGACCCGCTGGACAGGAGGGTCTCGCTGGTGCCCGACGTGGAGCAGGGCGACGTGGCTCTGCTGAGGAGTGGGATGCTCAAGCCTGACCATCTGCTGCAGGGGCACAGGAGGCAGTCGGTGCTCAACCTCATGACGAGCACCTCTGTCAGCTACGGACCAAACTTCCCCAAGAAGGGAAGTACAACCTTTCGGAAAATGTCCATGGTGCCCCAGACAAACCTGTCTGCTGAGATGGATATCTACACCAGGCGGGTGTCGCGAGACAGCGTCCTGGACATAACTGATGAAATCAATGAAGAGGATCTGAAGGTGTGTGTTTATTTGAATTCACCTTGGCTTTGGTTATGGTGATGGTTTAGTGTATTGTACTCCTCATCTATTTCTCTACTGGACTATTTCCTTCCTAATGCAGCATTTCTCTGCAGAATATGTGTTTTGAATACTTGTGAAAATTTTTAAACTCAAGTATCATCTCAAAATCCTTGAAATCCTCAAAAATTGTATTGCCTTATTTTTTCATTCGTTTTTCAGTGCTAAGTGTAGAATTTCAATACAGAATTTATATCTCTTGCACTTTACCTTTCAGATTACTTAGGATAAAATAAAATTTGAAACCATGACTTGAAAACACATTGTTTTAAAGCATTTAGGTAAAGTTCACCTTTGAAACATTAAGGCTCATGGAAAAAATAAAATACATTTGAAGTACCAGCACCGTTTTTAAAACCGGAATTTGATCAAATTTGATAAATTTGTCAGACTGCTTAGTTCTTGTGTCCTGATGCAAATAATGAATGGAGGAGGAAGTCTGATTTTACTCTGGTTTTATGGATGTGCAAAAAACCCCAGAAGGTTGAGTTTTATACCAAAAATTGGACCAAAATTTTTTTTTTTCTGATTGCTTCAATTGGTCATGATGGATGACTTTCATTTGCAAAACAGACAGCTGATTTTCTCAGGATAGGAAAATTTTCTGGGGAAGTTTCCTAGGTGGAAACAGATGTCCAAGGAAAATTTAAATTCAATATTTGCTGAAACCCTGCCCATTTTTTCTTTTGAGCTCAACAGAAAAAAGAAAAGCTCAAAGTGCTTACAAATTTACTCTAAAATCACAATAATAATTCTCCATTAAAAGAAAATAGCTATTGATTAATAGTTTCTGATTCTGGTAGTGCTAGACAAATCTCAGCTTCTGTCATTGTTGTCTGAAAATTTCAAATAATCTCTTGATTGTGTTTTTATATCAGAGGTGACTCAACCAGTCAGTACCTTCCTCTTTGCCATTATCAGCCAATTTAATGCTTCAGCTCAATTATTTGCAGTGAGTTAGCAGAAAGAATGATAGCATTCTTGTGTCAGAAATTCTCATACAGAGATATTATTAGCATTCTTACTATTACTTTACTGTTTTTTTGACAGGAGTGCTTCAGTGATGATGCTGAAAGCATGGGTACTGTTACTACATGGAATACCTATTTCAGATATGTTACTATCCACAAAAACTTGATTTTTGTTCTGATTTTGTGTGTGATTGTCTTCTTAGCTGAGGTAAGAAAATCTGTGCTTGGTGTCATGTTGCAGCAAATGATGTTTGTTCAAATTGGTCTTTGTGAAAATAGATAAAGCATCAAGACATAAGCTCTTGTATGTACCACTTATTGAAAACTTCTGCTAAATTAAATTGTAGAGACTTTTCTACTGCTTAGATGGGCACTTCTTCATCAAAGTTAGTGGTTAGTGCACAGCAGCAGAAGACCCATCTTCTCAAATTACCCAGGTTATTTTCTCTATGTGATTCCACAAATAAGAATTATTACCTTATGCAAGTCTTTTGTTCACAGGTGAATAATCTTCCATTTTTCATTAAAAATTACCTTTGAATAGCCTTAGGCAGTTAAGAACAATAATTGCCATAATTTTTTTTGATCAGCACATACATAAATTCTGGGACATTACTTTGAAAAATGAGTTACTAGCTTTGCTCCTAGTGGAAGAAGAGCGGTGAGTAAGGCAGAGTGCTGAATGCCTGTGGGGGACAGTGGAAGATGGAAGGGGTAGTCCTGCAGCATGCAGAGAAGACTTTTTCCAAGGATGGTGTAAAACACCAGAACAAATACTGAAGAACATCTGGCTCATTTGACTGTTTTTCATGTATCAGAAATTGCCTGCTTTTTGTCTTGTCTCCCAATTTAGAAAAACTTTAGGCATATAGAACCTCTTAATGTTCTCTTCTACAGTAAATATCCTAAATCAAGTATTTTTTAAAGTGAAGGAAGATGTTTCATCGGGAGAAATCAATGAGACTGTATTCACATGTCAACTTACAAAACACTGTGCCAATTTCTCTTGGTATTTTTCAACATGAACGGAATGAAGAGAAGAATCCATTAGGAATATAGGATTATTTTCTGGCTGATTATCAGCAAAGGTTTTTAGCAATTGTGTGGTGAGATTCAAACTTCTAGTATCATCATAGCTGGGGAAAGATGTGATCTGATCTGTATTCTGAATTTACACCAATGATATATTGCAGGTGATTTAAGTTACTTCTCTTGGACCAGGAATAAATCCTGGAGCTTAAATCTAGTTTAACATCTTAACTTTTAAACCAACTCCATCAGCAAGGCTGTACTTAGAGGTTACCTCCTCTTGTAAGTTTTGTTTTCATGGTTGTGGAAAATGGCTGTGTAAAGAACAGCAAAGCTGAAAGTGAGCTTTAGAGGCAAAGGAAATTTAAATTTTAAGATACATCAGATTTATTCCTGTACATTCAGCATATATTTCTAAATGCTTATTACACATTTTTGCTTTTGTTTTAGACTAAATAATTTTAAATGGTTTTGAAAACCTTATCTTCTAACTGAAAAAAATAATCTTATGACAAAGAATGTTTCCATACAATTTAAAGTTTCCAGTGTGACTATCATTGGTAAATGAATGGGCTGGAAAATAGCTGCAGCCCAGTCTTGAGCAAACCTCTGTGTGTGAGCTGAAATACCATTCCAAGTGTTTGTGTGTCCTGTGCTATCAGTTTGTACCCTTCCAACTTGAGATAACGAAGACAGGCTAGTGATCCTGTAAATCCAAGTAAATGGAAAGTGGTGGTTCAGATCTGGGTGGGAGTACTTTGAAAATTCTAGAGATGATATTTTAGATTTGAAAGGATTGCTTTGGAATGGATTGCTTTTGAATGGATTGTTGCAGATTCCAAGGTGAGTTCACATGGTCACCCTAAATAGGACATCAACTGTACTTTTTTCCTAGGTTTGTGTGGTGTGTGTGGTGTAGCCCACTTAAGCAGCTCAAAACTGTGTCTCATGGATGTAATACCCAGAGACTAGGGCTGCTGAACTGCAAGAAGAGCACTTTTGTAAGGAAACACAGAGAAAGGCTTTGTGAAACTATTCTGTGACAATATTACCTACCATCATCTTCACAGCTGAAAAAACTCCTCTGTTATGAGGAGTCACGATGAGAACAGAATTCTGTTGGGAGATGTAAAAATATTATTGTGAAAGAAGCCTGATTCTTACAAATACCTAAATTCAGGACCATCATGGTCAATCTTGAGTTATTTACTGCAAGACCTGCAGAAGTTGGTGGCTCCCATAGAGAAGACTTCAGTTATGTGTATCAGTTGGAGTATTACCACAATACATTTCTATACCAGTGACATAAAAATGTATGGGAAGAAAATGTAAGAACTGTTTCAACCCTTAGAAAAATTATCATAGTCAGGAACAGAGCAAACTAAAATCTAATAGACTAGATTAAGATCTCCAGTATCTTGGTAGACAGATAAAAATATATCACAGACTAAATTCTTGTTGAGCACTGAACCATCTCACAATAAAAAAGGTTTAATCCTACATTTTAAAAATATTACAATAGCTTATGCGGAAAATTATGTAAAACCTAAAGCAGCAAAGCAGTATCAGTCAAATGAATATACCAAATGTAGATATCAGCCAGTAAGAACAACAATGCAAAAATAATAAAGGTATGACATTCATATGTGAATAGATGCCTTTGAAGATACTGAGAGACTTACTCTTCCAGGGCCATAAACAATATTAATCTTTAAAACTTAAAGGGCATAGAGTTATCAGTAGGAAGACATTAGCAAGCCTTTGTTAATAGTATGGTAAAAAAGAACACAAGAATTTCTAGAATTCAAGAATCTCTGGGGCACTTGAGGGCCTGATTGTAATACAAGTCTAAATGTAGCTTCCCTGGTGGGATGCACTAAATTGTTTCCGTGGAGAGAGAAGCAGATATTACAAGGTTTTTGCTTTAAGTAGGTTTGACTTCCACCCATTTGTTATGCTCCCTCTAAAAACAGGTATAAAGTCAATGAAAAAAGATATGAGAGAAAGATTACATAAAGTGATAAACCAAAATCTGACTCTGTTTTCTTTGGTCACAGGTAGCTGCTTCTCTTGCTGGGGTATGGTTTCTTCAAAAGTAAGTAGTGGAGATAATTTTTTGAGAAACTGGGGTAACACTTATATTATTTTTTTTCTTTACAGAATGAATAAATTCTGCCAGAATTCTATGTGGATAGTCACTATCTTATAGTCAACAAAATGGTTCATAGATGGATGATTTAAATACGTTGTGTAGGTGGTATCTGGTACTTCTTTAAGTGCTAACAGTTGAATGGTTTATGCCTTGTTATTGAGTACACAACACTGTATGCAAGATTTTCCTGGGTCAGCTCACTCTGGGGATGCAGGGACCTGATTATCTTCAGTATACCTTCGTGATTCAGAGGTCTGGCAAGACTTGCTTAGGAACATTTCAAGGGAGCAGTTTCTGTAAGACCCCCATTTGTAAAATTTCTACAGCTCATCTATGAAGAATTCCCAGAAGTTATAGGATCAGCAGTTGTAGGTTAAAATGTACTGAGCAGCAGAAAAGCCAGTGGCTTTTCCTGGGTTAATGCTTTTAATCCCTGTTTTGGTCCTGCAGCAATGAGTGTGTGTGTGAGTATAGAAGCATATGGTGACATAGCTCTCACTGGAGGTGGAGTGATTTATGTTGATTTCAATTTCCATTGTCACTAAGGGCTTTGATTTTTATGGTATACCTAAAGAATTTTACTTTTGCAGTAATTCAGTTTTTTCAAGACTTAAACTAATTTTTCTGTTTAAAAGAAGTGGGTGTATTTTCCTAGATTAAGTTAGGTTTGTCAGTGATTAAATAAGCAGCAGATTTGCAAGAGACTACCAGAGCAATTAATAATTTATATTTCGTATGTTCATGACAATATTTTAAAAATTACTGGAAATATCTATAACCATTAGCATAGTTTTAAAACAAATGGACACTGGAGTACTGTTTGGTTTTGTTTAGTATATAAAAGAGAAAGAGCACACAATTTCCAGGAATGCATTTATTTGTTATTTCCATCACACAGGACAGCTTTGAAGGCAAATTCAACCCAGTCAGAAAACAGCACCTCTGACAAACCTCCTGTGATTGTCACTGACACTAGCAGCTACTACATCGTTTACATCTACGTGGGTGTGGCAGATACTCTGCTTGCCATGGGAATCTTCAGAGGTTTGCCCCTTGTGCACACACTTATAACAGTGTCTAAAACTCTTCATCAGAAGATGGTGCATGCAGTTCTTCATGCACCTATGTCAACCTTCAACTCTTGGAAAGCAGGTAACTGAAATGGGAGGTGATTGACTCACTTATGCATTTAATTTCAATTTAATGGTTTTCATTCTGTTAAAGGACAGTGTTACCTTCCATTTACATTTTCAGTCAAGTGGAATGTTAGAAGTTTGCCACATAAGGTAATTTGTGAATCTTTTAATGAAGCTTGATTGCACTTAAGTGTGACATATTTCAGTTGTCAATTCTGATTCTGAAATATCACCCTGTAAGAAAGAAATTTGGAGAAAATAAACCATTAACTGTTCTAGGCAATAAAAGTAGAATAACTTCTAAAGAATAGGCTTTGTCAAAAAATGCAATAGAAAACATACTGTCACCTATGTCATGAGTGACAAGGAATCAGATGTGGATGATAAATAGTGCCTTTTTTATGAATAGTCCTACTAAAATGGCATAAAACATCAGTTAGTGTGAATGATGGTATGCATATTCAATTTGGGAGTTGATATAGAGCTCATTATATAACTGGTGCAACAAGTTCCATCTCCCATTTAACATGAAATTCCTATATTATGTGTTTCTTACTGATAAGTACTAGATCACAGGATACACTGCCAAATGATGACACAACAATGAGCTTCTCTTTAATTTTCCCTTGTATTCTTAACTTTGTTGTTACATAATCTTTAATACAGTAATTCTACTCAAAAATTAAGAAACAGGTTACAAACCCAGGTAAATGCTGATGTGCAAATTACGTGTGCATCATCAGGGCCTGCTGAATAAGGGGTACCTTATGCTTTGTGCCTCCATTTCTGCCCTTTTTAGTTGTTTCTTTTTTAAAATTACATTTTCCTGGGTTTTTTTTACCAAGAGCTGAAACAGAGGTTGTGCAGCCAAATTCCTCCAGGGAGACAGAAGATGTAGCTCCACTAAAATGTCACGGAATTGCTTATACTTAAAAAAAAAAATCCTGTATTTAATATTTGGCATTCAGAAAAAGTTGTAACTTTTGTTAAAATAGTAAATGTGGGATTTGGGTGGGGGGAGGTATTAAAATGTGTGACTTTTTTTTCCCTTAATTCATAGGTGGTATGCTTAACAGATTCTCAAAAGATACGGCCATACTAGATGACATACTTCCACTTACAGTATTTGACTTCATTCAGGTTTGTAGAATAAAAGTTGTAACTTTTGCTGTCTTATGATATATATCAGCTATATATCTTGCAAAGGAAATCATATGATTTTTTTTTCAATCTCTGTATCTATGTAGCTGCTTATCCTGCAGTTCAACTGTATTGCATCACTTTGAGTGCTTGCCTCTGTGTGTAATTACCTCCACTGTTTATGCAAACCACTCTTACTACTTGGGCTCAGAAATATTTTTGCCCTGCAGACCCCTACAGGACAAGTATACCTGCTGCCCAGATTCAACTGTAAGTCATAAAGGGCATTCCTTAGTTTTTTCTGTTATCTTGGGTCAAGTTAACTGTTTTTTTAATGCTATTCTTTTATTGTATTCAGTCACTTTCATAACTTCCCCTCCTTAAGCTCTTCTGCTCCCAGTTTGCTAACATCACTCTTAGTTTACTTCTCTTCTCTTGAATATATTCTTGACTTTTCTGTTCCTTTGTCTTCTATGGAAATGTCAGCTTTTCCTTAGAGAGAACTTGTTCCCAAAACATTTTAAAAACAGAAGCAAATCTTTCCTGGTGCTCCTGTTCCTCTCAACATTATTAAGGTGATATACAGGTCCAACTTAATCAACCCGAACACTCTGCTGTACAGATTGCCTGTCTCCATCTCTCCATCTGTGAATTTTTCTGCTTTATAGTCCCTACCAACATGATTATCTGATAAAGACAGAATTTCTTTCCCTATATCTTTGTAAGGAATTGATAACTTTGACTCATGACTTCAGAGGGGCCAGTGCAGCTTGACATGAAGAGGTTCAAGTATATTACAGCTTTACTTCATGTCCTGCTGAGGTCATGAGGACTTGCTGAATGAGCAAACATGGACATTGGGACTCTGAATCAACTGTATAATCTTCAGTGTGAACAGCAGTCACTACTGTCTTTTCTGATACGACCGTTTTGTTTCAGATATTTTGGATCTACCATGGGGGTGTCATTCCAGAAGCATGTTAATTAGTCTGTGTCTACATTTCAAACTTTCTACAAGAAACTGCCTAGTTTTTCATGTTTTCAAGAATAAGGAAAATCTCAGTATTTTCTATTCTGATGCCTTGCAGAGGTTTAGCTATACCCTATTGTCCCACAGTTTCACCTCTCTCTCCTCAGTCTCAGCTGCAGAGGCTTCTAGACATGCATGATAAGCTGCCCTGTCTTTCCAGGTTCCTCTGCTGAATATCATTGAACCTACCCATTGTCTTGAATAATTTTTACAGTTATTCCTTCACAACCAATTTCTTCTGGTCCTCCATAGATTCAGACTTCCATGGACTCTGCTAAGGAGCAAAGGTTCCTCTGAAAGATACAGAGAAGTTATAGATAGGACTTTTCCCTTCTGATGATTGTTGAAGAGCCAGAGAGTGTGGAAGGGACATGTGGACCTAGAACCTGGAACCCCTCCAACCCCTCTGTTCAAAGCAGGTTCAGCTAGAGAAGGTTGCTCAAGGCCAAGCTGAGTTTTGGATAACTCTGAGTAACACATTCCAGTATTTGATTTTCCCCATGCTAAAAGTGCTTTTTCTTATGTTTAAATGGAATTTTGTGCATTTCAGCTTGTGCCCATTGCCTCTTATCTTCCCCCTGTGTGCCATTTAAAAGAATTTGGTTCAAGCACGTATGGTCCACAAGAAATACCTACTATTATTGATATAAATAGAATATATTTTAATTATATAAATAATAACAAACTATATATATGGAACCATGTATAACGTATATAAGGATAATGAATACCAGTATATAGTTATACAAAGTGATGAGATCCCCCTAAGCCTTGTCTTAAGGTTAAACCCAGTTCTATCAGCCAGTCCTCATTTCTGGAAGATCCTTCCTGTGAGATGCTGCTAGCACATATGCTTGTCCCTAGGGTTTAATATAGTCTCACCCAAAAGTTCATAGTGAACTCACTGAACATTCCTGCCTGTGATCAGGACTGGTTTCCCCTAAATGATAAACTCCTGTTGGTCAATCAAACTGGCTGTTGCAGTCATTGCCACCCTGAACATTTGCTGAGTTGCTTTGTCTACTACCATCTGCATTTTCCAAACTGAGAAACAGTGGGACATGTATCCCCATCTGACCTCTGTCTCTGGGCTGAAAGCTCAGCATCTGAGGCACTGAACTGTGCTGCATGAGCCCTCTGCTGCCATTCCTCAACTATATGCCAATACAGTTGTCTTGTGGTTTAGATTTTTGCTTCTGCCTTTTTAGAGAAAATATCATCTTCTGTCTGACTTTAGGCTTACTTTGGAGTTTATGAGATAACACAGATTTTCATATTCAGCTTTTTAGTGAAATGACTGTGGGACCAGCAGTTAGAACAGTATGACATCATGGTGACCTTTACAAAATTCGAGTAAATGACAGAAATGGGAATTTTAACAGTCGCTGAGTGACTGTAATCTCAAGTAATGTGCGAACTGTATAACTTGGCTCAATATCACTTGAATAGCTCATTTGCTTCCTAACAATTAGAGATACAAATGTTACTAATTTCTGCAGTCTGAAGTAATGAGTAAACACAAATCCATTCTTGTATTGCTGCAGACCAGTGCTAAACAGCCTGCACAAGTGTAACCCACACATATCACCATTTCTTTAAGAGAAATGAGGAAAATAGTGAAAGAGCTCACAGGATCATAAAATTGTTTGGGCTGGAAGGGACATTAAAGATCATCTAGTTCCAAACTCTCTTCAAAGGCAAAGACACTTTCCATGAGATCAGATTTCTCAGAGCCCCTTTCAACCTGGCCTTGAACACTTCCAGGGGTGGGGCATCCACACCTTCTCTGGGCAACCTGTTCCAATGCCTCACCACCCTCATAGTAAAGAATTTCTTCCTAATATCTAATCTAAACCTGCTCTATTTCAGTTCAAAGGCATTCCTCCTTTAGCTAGTTCAGCTATAATGTAATTTTTTTCATATAATGTGATGCTGCTATTGCATTGCTCAGATTTCTGATGAAAAAAAATGTTATAGAAAACTTAGAACATGCTTATCTGCTCATGAATGACCTCTATCTTGGAATACTGAGAATTTAAATCCTACCTTGAATTTATGTGGATGTAGTAGCAAAAGCACCCACTGCAGGTTTCTTCCTAATGTGAAATTAGTTTTGTTTTCATCTGTTTCTTTGTTGACTGGTCATTTGCAGTGATGTTTCAATGCAATGTTCATAATTTTGCCCCAAATTGTCCATTTGCAGTTGGTTTACGCTGGTAAGTTTGCAGCTTGAAGTAATTGTTTTGTGTTAGAAGTAACACCCTGATACAAAGCAGAACTTTGCTATTCTATGTACACTGGTATACTTGATTAGATTTAGACTGTAGAAAAAAGCAGTCTACCTGCTTAAGACTCTTCTAGAGTCAAGATCAAGACCAGATTTAGCTAAATCTAGCAGGAGCTACTGAGAATGAGATCTTAAAATGGTAGTAGTATCAAGTAGGTTAAAATAGATTAACTCTGAAACAATTTTGTTCCATTTATCATCTGACACCTTTAAACACCTTTTTATTTCTCCTGAAACTGCTAATTTGTCATACCACAGAATCTTGTACAATTTATTTCCTGTCTTCTGATCAGGACAAGCAGTAGTGTTAATTTCATGCATGAGTTACAGTCCCTTGACCAAAGAAGTGCAACTTCCCACTTTTTCTGATCCTCAGCAAGACTGCTTTGCCCAGAACCTGCAGGAGGCTGTCACTCAGCTCCTGACAGTCTTGCACACCTAGTCCAGACAAGGACAGCACTGTAGGTTTGGTTGGTGGCTGCAGATATTGCAAGTGTCATTCTTATATTTTAAGTGGAGAGTGAGTGCCATTGCTTTTGTGTGGCTTCATATTTTAGAAGCCTGCAATACAGACTACTATAGAAAATACTTTCTCCATCTATTAGAAAAACTAGCAGCTTGTTGCAACAGGTTATGGATCTGGTCCAAGTTATTAATTATCTTTTCACAGAGGTTTGTTCTCAGCTGCAAATCCTCTTAGGTTAGCACTTTATATTAGTTGAAACAATACGTAGTTGCCATAGGAAGGAGATTCATCACCAATCTCTAGTCTATAAAATGACAAGTTTACTTTATCAATAGTATTTTTCTTTCATTCTACAGTTAATACTGATTGTGATTGGCGCTATAACAGTAGTCTCAATATTAGAACCCTACATCTTCCTGGCATCAGTGCCTGTGATAGCAGCCTTTATTCTGTTAAGGGCATACTTCCTCCACACTTCTCAGCAGCTGAAACAACTGGAATCTGAAGGTAGGAGCAGCAAAGTTGGTAGACTTTTAAATCCACAACAAATCAGTTGAGAAGTGATTCACTCTTTCTCCTCTTTTTTGCATCTTCTTGTGCAAGATGACATTGTCTTTGGGAGCAGAACACATATCTCTTAAAGCCAGGGCTGTTACTGATCCAGCCAATACTGAGTGCTCTGCTGCCAAAGAGCAATAAAAAAGGCCTTTTAAAAGATGGGCTTTATCACCACTGCAGCTGAAAACAAATAAAATCCTGACATGACATACAGTTTTCTTGAGAGTAAATTTAACTTGCAAAATGGTGGTCAGACTTGGTATGCACCCTTTGAGTTTGTTTCTTTGTAAGAAAAAATTTCAATGGATGTATCTTAATCAGAAAGAGCTCTGATTTCTCAATAAGTTATTTGATTAAATTTCCTTCCTCTCGCCCCATTAAGAGATTAAAATGTTCCAAATAAAATTGAAAACCTCATTTGGAATTGTGAATTTGCAGACCATGCACTGTTGCCTGGCTTTCCAGTGAACGGGCAGATCCTCGGCAAATCAGTCCCAAATTTTCAACAGTGGTGATCCTCTTCCCTTTTACTTAAGTGTAATTCTGGAGTTCTTCAGACCTAAATTTAAATTTCTTTGATGTTCACAGGGATCCAGCACTGGCTCACCACTTTTTATGTAATGCGAGATTTGCTTAAAATTACCATGTCAGTGCAGTTGCATCTGGAGCATTAAAGTACTCTGTTGATGCTAAGAAAGCTTCATATATTGGAGTTATGAAAATTGCAAGAATTAATTTTGGCTGGGGAGGAGCAGCCTTTCTCTTGTGGGATCCTACAGAAGTCCAGGAGCATTTCCAAGTAGATATGAGACAAATAGTTATGTGTTAAATATGAAGAGTTACTGTGATCCCTTCCTGTCAATACACTGAATGCAATTTCAGCCCATTCTTGCAAGGACTGTTGCCGTATATCCTTTGTTAGGATTATTTCAGTCATGTAGTCTGACAACACATGTAAACTGCACACTGGCAGTGGTTACGCTGATGTGAGGTAGAGCATGGTGGGGTGTTTGCATTATGTCAAAGGCATTTCCTCATGCATGTTGATGTTGTTCTGATTTAAACACTTTGCAGCTCGGAGTCCAATTTTCACCCATCTTGTTACAAGCTTAAAAGGGCTGTGGACACTGCGAGCTTTTGGGCGGCAGCCATATTTTGAGACCTTATTTCACAAAGCTCTGAACCTACACACGGCAAACTGGTTCCTCTACCTGTCAACACTGCGCTGGTTCCAGATGAGGATAGAAATCATTTTTGTTGTCTTTTTTGTTGCTGTGGCATTTATCTCTATCATAACTACAGGTATGGTAACTTTACCCGAAAACTGAAATGGAACTCTGCTGCTTCTTTTTAATTGCTCAGCTTTAGAAAATTCTGAGAGAAATAAGCTGTTGTGGAATTTAGCACACACTGGAGTCATTGATTTAAGTATGTCATAGTAGTAAACACAATTTAATTAAAATAGGAATAACACCATTATTGCCTGCAGTCTGATATTGTAGAGGACTCATTAAAGGGATTAATCTGAAAACAATAATTGAAGGGACAAAACTTTTATTTTGTTGATAGTAATTGCTGTAAAATAATCTCATAATGTGAGTTTGAACCCACATTACTGTTCCAACAATGGATGTTGATCACACCTGTATAGCTCAAAGATTTTTAGTAAATAGAAGTTAATGTTCCTCTCACTTGTAAATGGCTAAGACATGAAAATGTTAATAATCTTTAAAAGCCCATAACATTAGGAGAAATCGTCATCCAGTTTTTTAATTCCCAACCCACTGGCCCATTTTCCTGTGTGAAGTTTTGCAAATTCTTTTCAAAATCCCCTGAAAAATGACTCACGACTCCTAGTAAACACAGTATATGGATGAGAATCACACTATACCTTACTTGTATTTGAAGTGGTGCCCACGACTTGCCAGGTGTAGCCAGCCTCAAACAAGAAAAAATTAGGAGTATGATGGCCCAAAAATGTTAATAATTCATTTATGTGGAAAAATTCAGCTAGAAATAACTTCAAATACAGTTTTTTATTCACTTTGCTTTTGTTATGTTTGGACATAGTTCTACCTCTCCAAGTTTTACTCTGAACTTTGTGTGCAGGACCTGTATGCAGTTTCAGTACTATGGTTGCTGATGAACAAAAGTTTCATGATTTTATGGAGGAGGTTTTTAAATCTAACAATATTCAGATTTCTTTGTGCCATACTTCAGTGTTGAAAAGGAGTTATATAAGAGCTTGCAATTTATCAAATATTGTACAGTTTATGAAATGCTATCTTCCATTTCTTGTAGAAGGAGCTCTAGCTCTCCTTACAAATGGAGACACCACACAAATACTTCCCTATGAAAACAGGCACTTACAGTTCTTTTGTTACTAAGGAGACTTCTAGTTCTCTAACCATTCATGGGAAATGATGCTCCCTGTTGTCCTTCTCATTTCTCACTCTGTGTTCTTAGTAGTTTGGGGTTTTTAGAAAAATAATTTCTTGCATTAGTTGTCCTGTATGTTTTCCTTGAGAAAAGGAGTTAAAACACTTTTAAAAAATATTAAAATTTGTCATCTTGGCACCATAATAACCTTTACTGTTATAAATAATAGGCCCTTCGAGAAACACTAAATTCCTTATCTTAATCTATAAGCTTTCATGAGGAATATTTTGCTTTTATTGCTTACTTTTATATTTACTTATGTAATGAGACATCTATAAGAAAACAGGAGGTTTATTGAAGAAAACTATATAAGGAATGGAGAAATTATAGAAAGGCATTTGGCTTAAATTCTCAATTCCATTCACACATAGTGAAGTGAAAAATCAACAGTGTGGTAGATTAAATGCTTATATTGTATTGTATGAAGTCATAAAGGAAAATCCCTGGAAAATCCCATGCTTGAAACAGCCAACAATTGGAGCTATAAAATTTACATCTGCATCTTTGTGAAACACTAAGAAGAACATCCTCTATTTGTGAAAGAAGGGAAAATGTAAGCTGTTTTGAATTTTAGCGTTGCTAGCTGTATGTGGGGTCTTGGTTAGATAAGAGTAATTTCACAGATTCATGTGTGTTGAAAAAAGGAAAGTCAAATCAAGATTGCAGAGACCTGATTCTGTTTACAGTTTAAGTACCAAGATTCTTCTGCCAAGCAAGATTGGGGTTTCTAGTGAATTCAGCACCAAAGCCAGGTGTTAAACTATGATTAAACTCTTAGTCCTTTTTATGATTAACAAATCCATGTTTTCTCCATGAAGTAAAAGAGGCAAGAGTATGAATGTGCATCTTAAGGTATACATGCTAATTTTCTGTTTTCTAATGGCTTTTTATTTGCACAGAAAAATTGAATGTGTTTGTCTCTCCACAGGTGAAGGACCAGGTACAGCTGGAATTATTCTTACTTTAGCTATGAACATCATGGGAACCTTGCAGTGGGCAGTAAACTCAAGCATAGATGTTGATAGTTTGGTAAGCAAAAAATGCACGGTGCTGTGCTTTCTTTTGAGGAATTGCCTTATTTTTTTGGTTATGGTTGTGCAGTGAATTATCTTCAGAGTTGAATATTACGCAGATATGTCAGAAAAGTTTCTCTCCTACCTTTGATAGCAAACTACTGGCTTTGGGATAGCACAAACAAAGTTTTTTCACGATCAGAAGTTTTTCTGGCCTGGAATAGGCAACAGCAAATACTTGCGCTTGAGGATTCAGATTGCAGATGCAGCAGTGATAGGAAAACCTCAAAAAGGCTTGAGGCTGTTTTGTTATATTTCCTGTATTTATAATATAAAATACATCTTCCTTGGTCTACTTAACAGCTTTGCATAGCAGATCACAAAGGATGTTTTTGAGATTCTTTCACCTGTTATCAATAGTGGTTTTAAAATCTGTCCTTGACTTCCCTGGCAGTCTTTTTCTGGTTTTATGTAAAATGCCCTCTGACATAAGACTTTGCAGTCATGCGTAATTTTCATAGGTAGGACTGGCTTTAAAAGAGAGCATTTCACAAGGTTAGCTTCTCATCACCTATTTGTTGAGACATATGAAGCAGACAAGAAGCTCATAGAAGAGTATGTTTGTTCTTACACTTTTCGTCATACATTAGTTCAAATGTACGAAAGTTTTAGCTTTTATTTTAAATAATAGTTCCTGATGTCTTTCCACTTCATTGATGTTAGGATTTATTTTAGACAGAATTTGTGTAACAAAATACTGTAATCTTACAAGCAAAAAAAAAAATTCTGAGAAAAAAGATCTCCCACATCCTGTTTTACCCACTCTGAACCTTAAATCAGCTTCTCAAGCCCAACCATTTCAGTATTGGAAAACAAAATTTTAGAGCAGATTTCAGAGTCCCTTAAATCCTGATTAATTGAAATTAATTGCCATATTAAAAATACATAATTGGGGCAGATGGTGACAGTGAAACAATATTCGCAAGTCTAACGTTATTTTTTTTTTAATAATTATTCAACTAGATTCACCCTGAGGGAAATCATTAAGAGCCTCAGAACAAGGAATTAACCACTTACAGCATCTAAGATCTTGTTTGCACATCTGACTGCTGATAGTTGAGAAAGCTGATGGCCATTCAGTGATTCCCACCCACCAAACGTTTTGTGCTAGCTCCTTCTTTGCTTTGTTATGAAGGGCAAGTACTTTGTGAGAGGGCTTCATTGCTGTAACTGCAAGACTTGCTGAATAGTAGTTACATGACTAAAAATGAAATAAAATGCAATGTTGGTAAATAACAGAATTTTTAGGGTTGGGAGGGACCTCTGGAGATCCTCTTGTCCAACTCTCCTGACAAGGCAGGGTCACCTAGAGCAGGTGACACAGGAACTCTCCACAGGTGGGCTTTGAATGTCTCCAGAGAGAGAGAGAGACTCTACAACCTCTCTGGGCAGCCTGCTCTGTTGCAGCCAGAATTGCTGCTAGCATAGTCCAGGTTAAAGAAGCAAAAGGACCTTTGCACAACATCCACAGATGTTTTATTCAGCCATGTGGTGAGATGTTTAAGTCCCAGCACCCATACCCAGAGAATCTAACTTTGTCTCTCTACAGGGGCCTTGGGGCTGATCTGGTCTCAGGGCAATACAAAGATGAGGGCCAATCAGAGAATAGGGAAGGTGTGGCTCAGGGACATAGAAACAGACACAGGAACAGGGGAAGGAGCCGGGAAGGGAAGAAGCTTTTTGAGGGAAGCTTCTTGTGTCTCCCTAGACCAGGGAATGCCCCCTCCTCGCCAGGGTCTCCACGCTGTTCCAGTGCTCTGTCATCCTCAAAGTGAGAAAGTTCTTCCTTATGTTGAGGTGAAATGTTTTGTGTTTTAGTTTATAGCTGTTGCTTGTCATTCTATCACTGGGCACCACTGAGAAGAGCCTGACAGGAGCCAGCTGACAGCCGCCTTTGAGATATTTATGCACTAATGTGATCCCCTCTCAGTGGTCTCTAGACTAAACAGGCCCAGCTGCTGCAGTCTCTCCTCATAAAAGAGATGCTCCAGACCCCAGATGATCTTTGTGGCCCTCACTGGGCCCTCTCCAGTAGCTCTTTGTCTCTCCTGTGCTGAGGAGCCCAGAACCCAGCCCGGTGCTCCAGATGTGCCTCACTAGGGCCGAGCAGTCAGGCAGGACCACCTGCTGCCCATACTGCTCCCGATGCACCCCAGGTTACCACTGGCGCTCCTGGCCTCAAGGGCACACTGCCAGCTCACAGTCAAATTGTCATCCACCAAGACTCCAAGGTCCTTCTCTGCTAAGCTGCTCTCTAGAAGGTCAGCCCCCCCAAAACAACCACAACAGCAACAACCATGTTAATTCACTTGGCTCTCATTTGTAGACTCCATCCCCTGTAAGGCAGAATGTGATCACTTCAAGTATAAAAATCTGTATACAAATAATGTGTGTGTATTGAATGGCTTAATACAAACTGAAGGTGTTTCACAGGAGCAACAGGAAGTCCTACTGTAGGATGCAGGGGCTGCTGGTCACAATAGTGTTTCAATAAAGAAGAACTTCCCCAGAGGGTGCTGGACACAATAGTAATTCAATAAAGAAGAACTTCTAGAACTTCTCCTTTTTAGAAGTACAGTTGTGTTAAAATGTCACCTATTAGCAGCAATAAGAAAGCGACTCCCTTTCCTTGGAAAGGGAGTCCCAGGTTGCACTAGACACTTTGGAGTACTTTGCTCTGATTGAGACAAAGGGCTGTGCTGGAGCACTGGTTTTGCTATGTGTTACATTGTATTACTGATAGCCTTCTAAGGTCCATCAGGTTGTAGAGTGGATCCTCTGGACATCATTTGCCGGTGGATAACTGCTCAACCTCATGACATGAATTTTTAGGTATCCCAGAGGAGAAACTAATAGATATTGCTGGCAGGATGGTTTTCTTGACATTCAAAAGCTGTTGCTGTGCACAAGCATATATAAATAGCTTAATGTTGTCAAGATAATAAAACTGCTTCACACGGTGATACAGATGTATTATTTCTTACTCTGTAGTCTCTGCATTTAGCACTTCCCTCATCAAAGTATTTTATAATTATTTGGCTAAAGATGTTCTGCAGAGGGTTGCCCTAGTAGCCTACTTAGTTATACTCCATTTTTCTCTCTAGAGGTAGTTTGAAGCTCCTCTCAGGACCAGATTGACTAGAACTGACACATCCCCAGATGTCTCCAGTTACAGATGTGCACACACCACTCTAGTTGACATCACTCTTGCCCTTCCTTGAGCAGCTATGATGTCTGTGTTTACAAGCCTGCAGACAAGCATGCCTGGGTGAATAGCACATTTGTAGGTAGCAGTCTTTGGCTGTCATATAAGCTGGAGTTTTCTGCCAGTGGTTGAAAGCCAAAGGAATGGCTGGCCAAACAGATGGGTAGGTGGCAAATTTGACTTTATTCCACACAAGCTCCATCTTGAGCTTTCCATGACACTGGCACACAGATTGAAGAAATCTGAGTTCCTTAGTTGGTTTTTATTTCTACACAGACAGATACTGTCTTTGAAGCAATTTTTGTTGTACATGTTTGGCTTCAAATTAAAAATCCCTATTGTCTCCTAATACTCCACAATGGTTTAATGGTTTTGGCATTTCCTTCTCTACAGCCCTGATACCTTGTCTGCTCTGCCTTTATTTAAAAATGAACAACCCTGAATACCCCCCTTCCTCCCCTCCAAACATACATGATCACTCTAACAGCTATCCATTGCTTCATTTAACGCTACAATTTAGGCTAGATTTATTGTTTCACTTTGATCATTTCTGCTAATATCCCTTTAGTTGGTTTACAGTCTTTTTCTTCCTATCCTTCTAGGCAGTCTTGTAGTGTTTTGAATTTTTTTTCCTTCATCAGGAAATAGAAAATATTTTTTTCTTCGGTAAGTGCTGCTTTAGCAGCATAGATAAGCATTAGCTGGTCCCAGTGGGCTATTTTAATGCTTTCTAACCTCTTCTTTCACTGATGTATATCCTGCAGCAGCAGTGCTTCAACTGTGAAGGAAAGTTCCTTTTATTAGGGGAAGAGAAAATGTTGTGCTTTTACTGTTGCCAAGATTACTTATATAAGGAGATACAAAAAGAATCTCCCAAGGAGACATTAAAACGCAACTTTCTAAATGTCACTCACCCTCTACATCAGGGATGCTGAAGAATTAAAATAATACAGGGTAAAGAAAAGGACTAAATTTAAAAGTACAGCTGTGAAAAAGAATGGTGCTCTTACAGATTATTTTTATTGACTTTTTTTTTTAATCTATGACATGATCTTAATATGGTTTATACTACTGTAGGCAGAAGATCTGAGAACACTTAAACACAAGTTTAAGTAGAATAAAATCTGCGTCAGAATGGTAGTCCTCAAAGTGAGGTGTTGGTCTTCTGGAAAGCAACATAATGAAAAAAAATCCTTTAGAACATTCTTTTTTCTGCCTGCCTGCACAGCAGTGTGAAAAAGAGAAAAAAAAAATCAGTAAAAGTTTTAAATGAGCTAGGTATTTCACTTTTGCAGTTCAGAAGAGAAGCACACATCCTATAAGTGCACCCAATATGTAATAGCAGATGCTGTGGAACCTCAGTAAAACCATATGTTCTGCCTACAGAAGCAGTTTTGGCAGTCACTTAATGCACAAGATTTTTTTCCAACATGAACCATTTGGACCAATCTCTCACAGATCCCCCAGTCGCACAGTGCACCTTCCAAGCATTGTTTGTGAGGAGGTGATGTCTGGCAACTGAGCCTTTGAATACCATGTGTGTCTGGTCTGAAAAGGGTGACTGCTCTCTTTTTAGCAGAAGATAACACAGAGCATGATTAAATTAATTCTATTAGCTTACTTGTAAAATAATTAGTTCCACCTTCTGGAAATATGAACTATATAATTATGAATTCTCCTTCAAAGTTAAGAAGAGTTTAAGTGATATTAATGAGGAAATAAATAAAAGAATTTGCAGTGGTATTAAAATCTCAGTAAAATACAATTAGGCAAGGCTAAAAATAGTGTACTATGCTTAGGGATGAAAATAGTAAATATACTCCTTTATTCAAAAGTACTAGTTAAAGAACATGAAGACAGCTGGCACAGTACTGATGGGAATAATGGGTAAGAAGCTTGCTGTCTCCTATCCTATACCTGTCATTATGAATGACAGAACATTTTTACCTGTGAAAGGAAGAATGGATATTTTTGTCAAATGTTCCTGACATGCTACATTCTGCCCAGATTTAAATCATAGTTCAAGCTATAGAACAAGGAATTCAGAATTGATTTAAAATTGTTAAACTGTCTAAAATACATATCTGATAAGTCTGTCAGAGCTAGGACATTGGGATGAAATTTTCTTTTGTAGAGAAGGGCTTTTCACCCAGCTGGCTTCCCAGCAGACATTAGGCAGTGTGTAGTGGTATGGCCCCTTGGGCAGTTATGGGGAATCTCTGTCCATAAAAACATTCACAGCTCTTGATGAAGCCAAGAAAAACCTGCATTTCTAATGACTGTATTTGACTATATGACTGTATTTCTATAAAGCTAAGATTTCTGCAGACAAAGGTACCATCAAACACCAATTAAAATGACTGCATGGTCATTGTGGGATTTACTATTTTCAGTCAGACAGGGAGAAAATTGTCAGCCTGATTCAAGCCTGACTGAAAATTGTCAGCCTGATTCTTCCTGTTTGTATCACCAAGAAGAGCTGGCATATATATACATATATGAACATGATGATGACCATGCACACTGGTTGAGATGGAAATAAGAATTGATAGGCTTGTGTGTTAGCATGCTTTTTAGAACTTCTGTCACAACTGTTTTTCAAGATCCTGAGATATAAACTATGATCCAAGTATTCCCTTGCATTTGCTCCCATATAGAAAATCTGCCTAACAGCACTTCAATTGGGATTGAAGAGCAAAAAGGAATTGTAACTTATACGTCAAGGAGAAGCACTTTTCAGAAAGAATATAAAAGCAGTAAAACAAAGATGCACAAAGGGTTTTACATGATACCACTAAACAGAAATCTATTTCTGAGAATATAGATTAGAGAACAAATGTTGTTTACAGGAACAAGCTTTTGTAAAACAAGGAATCTAATTAATTCATTAGTAGGACTGGGGCACTTAGATATCTGAATGTAAAGGGAAGTCACATCTTCTTCAAGTAAGGATCTGAAACTTTTTTCCTGAACAGGAGAAAAATAGGACATTTTGAAGACTTAAGGACTGCCAGCATGAACAACATTCTCTGACAGTATGTTAGGAATTACAGCCTCTAAAGAATGGACTTTAATGTTAACCCAAACAAGCTGTGTGTTAGAGGCCAAGAAGCAGATAGAGAAGAGAAACTTGACAAAATCAGAGTTAGGCTTGCAAATGGCTCAAAAGCTGGCCAAATGCTTGATCTTAATTTTCACTAAAAAGGCAGTGTTTAATCTGTGGACTTAAAAGTGGAACAGGAAGTAGAAATGGGATTTATAATATCTGAGGTAGAAATTACATGAAAACCAGCTAGAATCCTGGTTTCCCTAAACTGTACCGTTTGTGGAGGGACACACACCTGTGACCACCTGTGAGTCAGTTCATCTAAAATCAGAATCTTCAGCTAGGGGAGATTTGGTTCTGCAGCTGGACATCTCCCTGAAACGTGTGCAACCAGACTGGAACAATGCCATCTATACCAGGTAGAGCAGACCTCACATCCAAGTGTTGAGGAAGAACTGGCCAAGAAGCTGGAAACCTTATAATGGCCACCTCAAATAAATAAACAAGCAGGAAGTGGTGGTGGCATGTGATAAAATAACAACTGTCAATTTTTGGTTGAGAAGGAGAAATGAGAAGTCATTGATACCACCATCAGTTTGTTAGTGTATAGCAACAGTCTTTAGAAACTGTTTTTAAGAACTAGTTAAAAATGTGATGGTTATAGATTAGAATTACTTAGGTTTGCTGACATTAGGGTTGCATCGCACTACCCTCATAACTGTGAGTGCTGATTTATTTTCCAGACAGAAGTAATGTAATAGATCTCATTTGCCTTCAGGAAAGCATTGATTATGGCTCTCTTTCAGGAATTGTATAAATGAAGGATATCAGGATTATTACAAGAACTGTAAACTAGTTAATGAGTTGGTCAGAAAGGAAATGTCATTAAGCTGTATGTATTAACCTGTAGGGAGCCTACTCAACAAAGATTAGATTGCTGACTGAGCTCATTTTAATCTTTTTTAAATGCTCTCAACAAAGTAAAAGAGTGTTGAAGAAATCCACCAATGACACAAAGCTGAAAGGCAGTGTTGGTACAAAGGATCCTGGGACTTTAAATATATTAGGTGACCTCAAATGGCAGATATTAAATAGATTTCAGTAACAAAAGTGCAAAGGCTTGGATTTAGGGACTGCTAAGAATAACCTCAGCTATAAGTGAGGATCTTGTTTAGAAATGGCTAAAATGGAGGAAAGCTTGGCTGACCACCCCTCACTCAAAGGCTGACTGTAAGATGTGACTGTGAAGAAAATAGTGTATGATCCTAGCATGTGTTAATGCAAATATTCTTAGTATAGATAGGGAAGCAACAATGCATTTGTATAATGTCCTGGTAAAACACCTGTGCTTGTTTGTAAAACACAAAATGCTGTGTGCATTCTGGTAAGACAGGAAAGCTTGATTTGAACTGGGGAGTTTGGAGAACATATATTAAGAAGCTTAAACCCAGATTTTCTTTAGTCCTGGAGAACAAAGGGTGATAGGATCTAAGGTGTCCCTCCATAAACAAATGGGGAAAGCAGCTAACAAAAGGAGCTCTTTAGATTTTAAAATTAAAAAAGTTATAACAGCAAACTTGTCCATAAAGTAAAAAATATGTTTTCTGACCACCTGAGCAGTGAAGTTGTAAAGGAGATTGATTGCTCATTGACCCTTGACCCATTTAATAAAAAGATCAAGAGGATTCTTTCTAGTGCCATGTTCCTTTGAAAATGCTCCAAGACTGCTACTAGCAACTTCAGTCTAAAGTTCATGAACTACAAGACTTTATTATTTCACCTAATATATATAATTACTGATAAAAAATTCATTATCATGGAACTTCCTAGAATTTTTTTAGACTATAATTACTCATAAGTATTCAAATGTTACTGTTTAATGATCGTTCCTTTTTTATTTAATGATGCTGCTTTGCACTTTTCAAATCCCATGCAGTCTACCGATCTTTGGAGATCAGTCATTATTCAAAGAACTTCAGGTTTTGGGCAACCCCAAACCTTCCTGTAGGAAACAGTTTAAGTGACCCATGTTGTTTTCATGATTATACTTTGTTTTCCTAGATACAAGTCCTCACTTTTCAAAATATAATTTTTAAGGTAGAAAGATCTACTATGTCCATTTAAAAAGGAAGCAAGAGGAATCACATATTAGACCAAAGTCAGTTGTACAAGTGCAATGAAATCTAGAGCTCTAGACGAGAAGCAGCCTATCTTTGAAGATTATATCATGGTACATTAAAATTCTGGGTTACTCATGATAGTAGCTTACACAGAAAAAAAGATTCACTGTTCTGGCTAGGAATTAGGAGCAATTTAATTTCATTTGTTTTGATAGTTTAGTATGAATTACAATTAAAATACTGGTTTTTTTGATTTGCAGATGCGGTCTGTCGGACGAATATTTAAATTCATTGACATGCCAACAGAAGAGACAGAAAGCATTAAGCCACAGAAGAATAATCAGTTTTCAGATGGCCTTGTAATTGAAAACAGGCATGTGAAGGAAGAGAAGAACTGGCCATCTGGGGGTCAAATGACTGTGAAAGACCTTACAGCCAAATACGGTGAAGGTGGACCTGCTGTACTAGAAAACATTTCTTTTTCAATAAGTTCAGGACAGAGGGTAAGACACTGTTTTATTGTGGTTTCTTCTGACTTCTATTAAGCTTAAGTATAAAATTGTCATAAACCTATTTGATGACTAAAAAGGATTTTGAGTCCCGTAACATTTTCTAAATGAAATTGTTGCAAAATAAAATATCTTCTAAACTAACTGAAGAACAGAAATGATTTAGGATAAAATACATGTGCAACATTTTCCAAAGCTGTATTCCTGTGCCTGAAATCCTGCTGCTGTGGAGAGGGGAGCTTGCTGGTGAATGCAGGTGCTGGGGACAGGCTGACCCGACGGGGCAGGGCACAGAAGAATACAGGGTGCCGTGCCAAGGGTAACGCACCGCTGGCTGCGTCCGCTGGAGGGTGGAGGTGCTGTCTCACCCATGCCATGAGGGCTCTGTGCCACCCTCAATTATTGCACTGCACACCATAAACAGCTCTATCCTTACAGGACTGACAAACCTCTCTAATCCTCACGTGTGTTTGGGGCTGTGTTTAAGAAAGGGCTTTAGCTTCAGGACAGCGTTTAGGTAGAAGTTTAACACTTTGCTTCAAGTTCATGCTGAAAGCCCATCCTTGGTGGAATGGGAAGAAAGGTTTGTGATTTCCTGAGCTGAAGGCAAACAGAGGAAGAGGAGATTTTAACTGTCCCATGTAAATGAGAAAACAGGTTCAGTGACAGCTCCCTGGCCTTGACATGAGGCACATATTCACTCCTAATTTGGATAGCACCAGTCTTTGCCAGTTTTTTTAGCTTTGTCTGGGTTTACACAAACTGAATGCTTCATCTACTAAGTTTGAGGGCACAAAAATTTTGAACCCAGAGTTCCGACTTCCTGTAGCACCATCCTGAAGGCACTCTGCATTTGAAAGAGAGATACCTGTGACTCCTGGAAGATTTTCTGGTAGATTTTCTTCCTGGAAGATCCCTTGAAGCAGTAGAGTAAGGAAAATAAAAGACACTTTTGTACTGTACAGAGAGGGGGAGAGAGCAGTAAAAACAAAAATCCTTTTCTCGAGGGCTGTGATTCAAGTTTTGTGATCAACCCTGGACTCAGATGCTCCTTAAACAGGAAAGAATTTGTCTCTACTGCATAGGTAGTGCACCAAGAAGGAAACAGGAGTTCTCCTCTGCTGAGGAATGGAATGGAATGGAATGGAATGGAATGGAATGGAATGGAATGGAATGGAATGGAATGGAACACTCATCTAGTCCCACTCCCTTACCACTTAATAGCTGTCCAGAAGTTTAAGCGTATTATCAAGGGCCTTTAAGACTTACAGGCTTGAGGCATCAATGACCTCTCTAGGAAGCCTGTTCCAGTGTTTGACCACCATGTTAGTAAAGAAATGCTTCCCAATGTCCAGTCTGACCCTCCCCAGTGCAGCTTTAAACTCTTTCCAAATGTTCTGTCACTGGATCCCAGGGATAAGAGATCAGTTGCCCCTCAGCCTCCTCTCCAAACTAGACAAGCCCATCTTCCTGTTCACTCATCACAGGACATTCCTTTCAGCCCTTTCACCAGCTTTGTTGCCCTCCTCTGGACGCATTCACCTCCACATCCTCCTTAAACTGCAGAGCCCAGCACTGCACACAGCACTCCCAATGAGGCTGGTCCAAAGCTGAATAGAGTGGGATAATCGTCCCTTTTGCCCAGCTGGTGCTGATGCTGTGTTTGATCAGCCCAGGATGGGCTTTGCCCTCTCGGCTGCCTGGGCACACAGAGCTGACTCTCATTGATCCTGCTGGCAGCAGCCCCCTCTGATCCCTCTCTGCAGGGCTGCTCTGCAGCCACTCCTCTCCCAGTTTATACTTGTGCCTGGCATTGCTCCATCCCAGGTGCAGAATCTGACATTTGGATTGTTCAATTGCAGTTAAATACTGCTCAGTGTTCCAAACGATCAGATTTCTCTGCAAGGCCTCGAGTCCTCAAGAGAGTCAACAGCATTTCCAGTTTGGTGTCATCAGCAGCTTTGCTCATGGTGCAATTGACTCCTGCATCCAGATCATTGCTGAATACATGGAAGAGAACTGTCCCTAGGATTGAGCCCTGAGGAGTACTGCTGATGGCAGTCACCAGCCAGAGGTAGCCCCATTCACTACAAGCCTTCAGCCACTCTTCAGTATGGTCACACTACAAAAGCAGCCCACACTCAGACAGGACAATGTTAGCTGTGTAAACCCAGATGTTGGAAAAGCAGCATCTTGGAGTTGGTTGGTGGTTACTGTAGATATTTGCTTTTTCTGGCAATAGGTTGGCTCCCCTACAAGGGAAACACAACTTTTACAAAACCTCAAAACCTATATTACTATGTTTCTTCACACCTTAGAGATAAGAAAAATCAGCATCAACTGGGCAGGTAGAGGACTTGCACCGATGCTTAGAGGTGTCCAATGGGATGATGTCTGCTGTAACCACTGCCTCTGCCCCAAGCTACCCCACTAATCAGAGTTAGGCCCTTTATTTTCAATCATATGAGAATGGAGTAGCTTACTACGGTGATCCAAATGCACTCCCTACTTAGTTTTTGGTTTCTGGATATGATTTTGCTGATGAGGGCTTCATGGCAAAGTGAAGGGAAAAGGCACAAAGAGCTGGGCTGATCAATGCAAGATAATAGACAAGCAAATTTCTGTCCTTCAGCTAAGGGTAGGCTAAAATATTTTTCATCTAGTTAATTCTAAAAAAAGAAAGAATAGTCTCCCCAGTGTTTGATTCTGCCCTTGCTGTAGGCTTTTATCATTCCCACATAAATGATGTTTGCTATCCCATTGAGATCCATCTGGACTGTTCTTCACTTCTGAGACCTCTAAGGCTTTTGCCTTAGTCTGTGATTAATATGTGAAGAGTATTAAATGTTTGCTTGTATAATTTGCATTGCAGGTGGGCCTTTTAGGAAGAACAGGTTCAGGAAAAAGCACTTTACTTTTTGCATTTTTAAGACTGCTGAATACAGAAGGGGATATCCAGATTGATGGAGTCTCCTGGAACACGGTCAGCGTGCAGCAATGGAGAAAAGCATTTGGAGTGATTCCTCAGGTAATAAGATTATTGAATATTTTTTTGTGCCTTTATTTTCATTGGTTCTATATCTGTATGCACGTGTATGCTTTGAAGATGTTTGTTATTGTATGCTGAGAAAAAAAACAAACCATAGATTTTGTGAAAAGGGGAGTGGCATGGACAGATGGAAGGATGCAAACTTTGAATTTTTAGGGTTTCTCTTCCTCTCCCCAAGAACTCTTCTAGAAATGGGAAGGTACAGCGGGCTCAAACAGAAGTATTTCCAGCCTGCTTATCCCTGCCTCTCTGAGCCAGTTTGCATTTTGATTCAGGATAAGATAGTGCCACCTGAAGAAAAAAAATGCAATCAGTGTTCTCAGCTACTGTTTTCTGAAGGTCTACATCACATATTATGGTTAACATGTGGACACTGCACCTTGTGTGCTTTCCCTGGCAGACTGGTAGCAAACATGTAAACCTAGGGCTTCTGAGTCTCTTGCCAATGTTCCTGCCACTGCACAGCATCTTGTATCAGTTACAGCTGTGGAGTATTTGTCTGAAAAATGAACATAATTGTCTGCATACAGTAACACTAAAATGTGATTGCTCACTGCAAAGGTAGAAATGAAAACTGATGGAATGAACTGCAGAATTTTAACTCCTTTGTACTTTTGATGTCTATCCTTACCAACAACACTGATACATGAGTCACACATATTGACCATCTCTTCTTTGACAGTTATACATCAAATAGTTCTTCAGTTTCCAGACATACACAATGTCCTCCATAACAGTATTAATTCCTTTGGAAATCCTCTGACTGTGGCAGACTAATTCAAGTAACACTTGATGGCAATCTTACCAATGAGTCGCTCGTTGTATCAGGCTGCAGTGGGAGACCGACTGCAGATCAGCCTGCCACACTGGGAGGGGCCAGGCAGCCTGTCCTGCCTTTATCCATCCATCCATCCTTGAGAGTGGCCACTAGCACCAGAGACTGAAAAATATGGTTTGATCCCCAGTCACCTTGGATGACCTGCTCTTTGACACACCCACAAAGGAGTGGGCCAACCAAGGTGCCCAAGCAGCCCTTTTTAGCTGTTAGCTGTCAAACCCTAATTGGGCAACTCCCCATCCCGCCCCCACAGTAAAGCTGTTTCCATCTTGTTGCTGTAAAGATTTGATTTGGTCCCTGATAGTTTCCCATCTGAGAAAGGTCGTTTTTGTCTTAGAAATCTGGTGATTGTATGTGCAGTATAAAGCTGTTGTTGCAGTGACTACATGAGGCACTTTAAAATAGTAGGAGAGACTCTGGGACAGACAGACAGTTAAAAATAAAAATGCCCTGAGTTTTACAGCTTGGGTCACTGTTAAAAGACACTGAAATATTCATGCTGGAAGAAAAATGGCCTTGATTTTGCAAACACAAGAAGGACTCAGAATTCAATTTTTCAATGGGATAATCAGTTTTGATAACTTCCCTCTTCCCTTTCAAATATGTTATTCCATGGTAGCCCAAGTGCCATTTATTTAGAGTAGGCATACAAAGGAGACACAACTTTCTTTTCTTTGTGCATTTCATGCTCTGAAATTTTCTGGAGGCAGCAATTTTTTAGCACTTTGACCTTGTCAAAACAGACCCTTTCTTCCCTGCCACGTTACACCCGTAACAAACCAAGCCTAACAGAGCAGTGTTGAGTCCACGTGTTGCATTAATTTTTTACCTGAGCTCTGCCAGTCACACACTGCCTGCAGAGCTGAGGCTTGCTTGGCAAGCTGCCATTTGATAACTGACCTCTTGTCACCACTTCTGTCCTCTCTTCAACATTTTCATATCTATCTATTCCTTTAAACTTTTATTTCTTTATTGCAGCTGGTTCAGTTCTGCAGAGTGATTGTTGCTTGTGAGTATGAAAATATGTCCCCCATTCAGATCACGGCAGCTGTGCAGTGAATTGCATGTGCAGCTGTTTGTATTTAGTTTAGAGGACAGGTATGTTGTACAGCTGTCTTCTGAAGCATGGCTGTACAGGATGAAGAATGCTTTTACCAGTAAGGTATGTCTGCACTGGAAAATTTTCCTATAGAGCCAAGTATACATTTCTGTATTGGAAGGGGCTTCCTTATCTCTCTCATAGTCATCTTTTTGTTCTCAGACTTTTGCCCTTTGGGATGTGGTTGCCCACCAGAATTTCTGTTTTCCATCTCCAGCTGTCCTTGGGAATGCATGGACTGAGAAGTAATCTGAATGCTTGGTAACAAGCAGTCTCATTGTCTCAGTGAAAATATGAGGGATAATTCTTGTAGCTGAGCACTCACTATAGAGTCACTAATGGTATAGAAAATATCATTCTGCAACCATCAGCAAAATGCAAGAGACATTTATTACATGAGTATATAACTTGCCCTTCTGCTAGTGAGGTGCATTGTTAGTTCATTGTTAAAATTACACATTTAGTTCACATTTGGAAGTCCCTGATACATGGATCAATGCCAAATAATCCCAGCCCTCCATTCTCTCTAAGGTCATGAGAGTTGCCAGCCTGTTTGCATGCTTCAACTCACAGCACTTGTCCCAAAGCCTTGGCAAAGAACTGCACATTATGCCTCAAAAGTTCCCACATTCAGAACAAAATGAAGTTTTCAGCAGCACTTTCCCAGCAGGAAGGAGAAATTGCATATGCCACCCTGCCTTTCCCAGCAGAACAAAGGGAGCCTTTTGTTCTTTGCTATTCACCTAAAGCTTCAGAATGGAAAAAAAGTTGCCTTTCCTTTCCTGGGAGGCTCTCCTACAGCAAGACCTGGATATTCACTGTCTCCAGGAGAGGCTTCGCCAACAAAAGGAGAATGGAGTTCTACCTGAGGCATGCTTCCTCCTGAAAATTTTCCAACACTCTCCTTCACTTCGTTAACCCTAAGTTTCCCAATTTAGTAGAAAATAAGTGCTTTTCCAGTGTGGGAACTTCACTAAAGCACCACCACATGGCACACAGAGTCCTAAGACTCTGCTCTCTTCTCCATGCAGGCTGTGCTGGAATGACCTGCAGGGTGCTCAGGGATCACACTGAGCAGAAACAAAGGTAAACCCCTTGTTTCTTTTAGTATCTCAAATCTGGCTGCCATGCCTTGTAGAGGTGTGAAGGGTTAAATGATATAAAACATATTTCCTGAAGCACTCACAAGGAAGTTCCTTGCTGTAGCTTCTCACATGGCTGTGCTGCTGAAGCCCAGCCTGCCCAACACTGCTCCTACAGGCTGTTTGTCCTTCTCCCAGAAACAATTGCTCCACTCACACCAGGCTGTACTTTTGCACCCATCATCTCTTCTTCCTGGACAGGCCTTTCTGATGATTCTCCTGCAGGTATTTGCCCACCACAATTCCAGAGTGAGGATTTCCAGCTGAATTTGGTTTCAACACAGTAAGGCTTTAAAGTCTGGTCCTCATGCAGATTGCATCCTGAAGTATTTAATGGAGTCAGTTTGAGGACATGCCTTCAGAAATTTGTGTTTGAGTGGAGAACAGGAGACCTGCAGTTGATTTCCAGTTAAAACAAGTGATGAGACACCTGAGGGATGGAATGGAATGGAGCAGTCATCTAGTCCCACTACCTTACCACTTAATAGCTGTCCAGAAGCTGTCCATGAGGTGCTGCTAGCTCTGAGGAAGGGCATGACTTCTGATGTTTTATTTAGTGTTATTCCATGCATCCTGGTGGATCTCACAGTTTTCTATATGTAAATACTCCATATAGAGTTAAAATCAAGCTCAACATGGAGAAAAACTTTTCTAGAGTTTGCAGGACTGCCAGCTGACAAAAAAAAATTTGCTTTGCTCCTTTATTTTACTGAAGAAGTGAAATTTTGCAACTTTTATCTTTGTGGTTCCAGTTTTTCAGCAGCTGTCACATTCTGTTCATTGTATAGGTCTGTCTGTCTGTCCATCCGTCTGTCTGCCTGTCTGTCTGTCTCCAGCACTATTTCCCATACCCTTCAGGCCTGCTTACTTTTGGAGGTCATAGCTGCTTCGTGGTGTGCCAGCACACTCCTGCCTGGTGCAGCTGCTCAGCAGGGCCACTTACCACAGAGGGTCCTGCAGGGCACTGGGATGAGGCAGCATCACCATGGTGGGGAGTGCCTGCTGCATCAGAGCCGTGCACAGAGCAGCTGGGGGGGTTAATTAACAACCCCTCATGCTCATTCTGGGCAGTACAGTACAGGTTCAACCCATACATCATAGGTTCAGTGTTACCAGGGGCACAGCACTTGTATTTACCAGAAAGCTCTATGGGAGGCAGTTGTTTTGTCCCTAAAGGACGCTCATGAAAACAAATCCTCTAACTTTGCATCTGGTGCTAAAGCATTCACACAGTAACTTGATTTTACTTCGTGTTGATATTGCTGCTATAACACAGGCACATTTGTCCTCCAGCCCTGGGGCATGTAGGAGTAAGAGTCCATGGGTCTTGCTGAGGACCTGCACACAGGTTGCAGCAGCAGCTTCTCACAGCTAGGATACTCTTCCTCCTTAGCAGCCTCTTGTCAGCTGATCCTTAACTCTTCTGTGAGCCTTTCCTGAGGTACTCTGGGGTCTTGATTCTCCACATACCACATAAATTGCTTAGGAATCTTATTGCCCCCACACACCAATACACAGAGGCTGTAGCCACTAATGGGGATTAATGCCCTTCAGAAGGGTTGATTTGCAATATTTGGGGTGGTCAGAACATAAACATGACCATATTTATGTTTCTGAATGTTTTGCTTGTGGGTGGATGTCAGGTCTAAGAAACTGTTTGTTGTATAATCACACCTACTGTCATCCTGTGGGAATTTTAACAAGTGACCAAGAAGGAAATTATTCCAGATTTGCTGCCAGTCTACCCAGCCATCGATTCACTCTTCCAATGCTCTCCTTATTTCTGCTTCTTCCATATTTATGAACAATGTAAGTCCTTCATATTCACTTTTGGGTGTTTTTGTTTCACTTTAGACTTCAAATATTTATAATGTGGAGGGATTTGTTTCTGCTTCTCTTCAAGCAGACCCTTAACTGCGCAGGTCACTCATATGGTATTTACTTAAGTGAACCCTATATGGTTTCTAATGAACTGGGAGGAAGGAGGTGTTGAAACGGAGAGAGAAGTACCAGAATTCAGGACAATGAAATATTTACTTTGTGGGGATGAAAATCCAACCCTGCTTTTGGGAATAGCTTGCTTTTAGTACCCTGCTTCTTGAAAGAATAACTCTTATAATAGTTGCTGCTATTTCTAATAACTCTTATAATAGTTGCTGCTATTTCTAATAACTCTTGAAAGCAGAGTTATTAGAAATAGCAGCAACTTCAGAGGAAAGTTGTACCCCTATTGGTCTGCCTGGTGCACTTCAGCAGGAATGTTTTTCAGCCCTATCTTCTTTAGAACTGGTTTGTTCAGTTAACTATTCTTTAGCACTGAGAAATGAAAACATGCATTCCATTAGTTAAATGTATGGGGCTCAGAGTGTGAGCAAACCCACGTCTGACACTGTTTCCACAGCACTGCTATTTCCACCACACCCACTCCTTGGAAGAACCTAATCCTGCTGCAAATATGTCACCCCACTCATGCCACCTAACCGGTGCAGGGCATGGGAAAAGGACTGTGCTGTACTTCACTGAAGCTTTCACTGTTATTAACAATAACAATTATAAGGGACTCTTTCCCCTTTGTCCCTACAAAAATTACTTCAGTGATTAATTTTTAGCTGAGTGTGGTTCTGCAGCTCTGTCAGTGTATTGTTTGCCATGTGTTGAAGGTATCATTGCACTTAAATCCACCCCATTGAGTGCACAGCACCACAGTGCAGCTGCTTTTCTCCTCTGGTTTCTTGAATTAGTTATTTCCTTCTCTTTTAAACCAAATACATTGGCAATAGCATGCATATCTTAATCTAGCAAATTAATTAATGTAATTTCTTTTCCTCTGCAATGTTTACACTTTTAATTAATAATAATTAAATGATTAATGTAAATGCGTGTATAAATCACTTTGAAATCTGATGAAAGAATGCCAAGTTCCCAGGTTGGGTCAGATGGAAATCATGGCAGACAGGCCAAACTCTGGGAGAGCACTTGCTAAGTGTATTCTCTCTCATTTTCTGTTGGTACAGCTAGTCCTCCTCTGCTTTTGGTAGTGTTTGACTACCAAGACTCCAGGAACTTACGTGGCTATGAATCACTGGCATTTCAACATATTTTCTCTAAATAAATACTTTGTCTAGAAAGACAGGAGAAAATAATTGTCTCAATTTTTTCCCCTTGGTATTTGTTGCGTACGTACACAGAAAGAGCAAGCAAATGGTAATATTTCTCAATAAGGCACTTAAATTCTTTGAGAGCAAGTTCTCCCTGCTACAAGCAGTGGGTGTATCTTACAGCATAGAAAAAACCAGTTTCTTAAATGTCCTACGGCCTCAGTGTCCCTTGAAGAATCTAATTTCTCTCAGAATCCACCCCATGTAAAAAGAGATTCAACAAATATTTAATTTTGTCTGAGTCACTGCTTCTTGAGCTACAAAATATGTATCTAAGGTATGATGCCCGAAATCTGCTTGCCTGAACTGATGGGGGAAGCAGAATGGAGTAGCAAACTTCAGCTGGAGAAGGGCGTGTTCTCTCTCAGAGCCAGGAAATGTGCATCCTCTTCCTCTCCTGCACTGGAACGGGGGCAGGGGCAGAGCAGGAGCCAGCACAGCCCGCGGTGTCCGGCGGGGAAACTCACCCAGGGGGCTGGGGCTGCTGCAGCCGTGTGACAGCGGGACACAGGGATGGGGACATGGGGAAATGCCAGGGAGCAGAATGATGCTGAGATGTGCGTTTGGCTACAATTTATTAGCAAATGAAATTCATTGATGAAAAACAGCTTAGGACAACGCCCCTGAATTTTGACAATAATAAGCAATAATAAGTGTGCTGGTTTGACCAGCCTATGGCGCAAGAAGGACTCCTCTCCTCTTCATGAACTGAAGCTTGAGTATTTTAAAGGGTGGTGCCGGACTGAGAGTTGGTGATTTTGGGGGAATGTATTGCATTGGGAAATTTGGTGGGGGAGGAGGAAGAAAGAGCTTTTGTAAGGTTTTTTTCATTTTTTCCCTTATGGTTTTTTTTTTTCTTTCTTCTTTCCTTGTAGTTTAGTTAATAAAGTTTTCTTTATTTCTAAGCTGGAACCTGCTTTGCTTATTCCTGGTGGCATCTCACAGCAGACACCAGGGAGAGGGTATTCTCATGGGAGCACTGGCTCTGTGCCAGGCCTAAACCATGACATTAAGCAATAGTTTTTCCTCTCTAAGAAAAATTGTGGAAACACACACTTTAGGTTTATAATTTTCTTTTGGTATGTTTGAATGTGTTTCACATAGTCAAGAATCAAAAATAGTTTTAAAATGTTTATTTCAAAATGAAAATGCAGGAAGTGTTTTATTCTGAAAACTGCTGCAGTCTGGGGTTTGCTGGTTTTCAGGCAAGTTTGGCTAAGATTTTGTAAAATAATTGCCAAAATCTTAATAAATAAGCATTTTCAAAATCACTTTTTTTGGAAAAGCATTTAAAAAAATTAATAACCTGCAGTTAGCTCTATTTGGTAATTGTAGAAGGTTATTCTTTTGTCTGTATGCTTCACAATTTCCAATGTTTTATACAATGTTTCAGGTTATCTATCTACCTGTGTCTGTATGTCTTTTTTCTTGCAGAAAGTGTTCATATTTTCTGGAAGTTTTCGGATGAATTTGGATCCTTATGGGCAGTGGAATGATGAAGAAATATGGAAAGTTGCAGAGGAGGTAAAGCTGTTCAGTGTCATTTGTCTCCCTCTGGTGATGTGGTTGCAGCAGGGTGCTATGTAGGTCTAATGATTGCCATATTTTACATTTCTGTAGAATCTTAAGAAATAAGGGCAAAGGATAGGTCATGCTGTGCTACAAACCATATCTATTATTCTTATGTAAATAGTTAGTTCACTTCTCAGGCCAATGGAAAGCCAGCTGGGAGGAGCTCTCTTCTCTGACAAGGCATTCAGGCTTTTGTTCTACTTGTGTCATGGAGCTTCCTGTGCCACGGAAAATAAGAGTCATGGAATGTTCGAATTCCGAACCTGAAGGTCGTCTTCTAATATTTTGTTGAGTTTTCCACAACATTTTTATTTTCCAATTCCCAAGCTTAGGGCCCAGATTCTGTTTCCATGTTGCACTGGTGCCACACATTGCAGGTGTCAGGTGCCACTCTTGGCTCTGACAGTGCTCCATGGGTTGCAGAGGTGTCTGTAATGCCCAGGAAAAGTCAGGTGAGCATTACAGGAGGCAAAGTGCTGCAGCCCAGAAAGTGGGTACCTTTCCCCAAGGTACAGATGACCTAATTAATTCAGACCTAACCATACATTGGTGCCACTTTCCTTCACTACAAGTCTCAAGTATCAAAAAGTGCTTACAGGTGTGGGACTTAATCTGAAAGCTTCCTCCTTTCCCATCCAGGAGGTTAACTCTGCCTCTGCTTGCTTTCTTGGGTTTTTCTAATTTCTTCCCTATGTTTGGAAAAGAGGAAAGCAGACATGTTCTGTAATTTACTGTCAAATGAAAATATCATGACATTTTTGTTTAGATGGTGTGACAACAGCTTTTCAGACAGCCCTAGTGGAGGCAACAGTGTGCTCAGTGCTGTTTCTCTGCTTCCCTGAGGCTCAGGAAAAAATTTAGTGTGGATCAATATCCTCTTTCTTGAAGAAGATAAGCTCTCCTGCTTTGGAGGATTGTTTTTAGTGTGTTTGAATTGAGCTTGAGATTTTAAAGAGCTAAACCTGATTTACAATGGCGTGAAAAAAAATTTATTTTGAAGTGTTTATCATTAAGGAGTTGGGCAAATCTGTATTTGATACGGAGGTTTGCATTGCACGGGCAAGAATGCAAAGCAAATAAAAAAAAAGAAAGCTGTAATGCTTTTTACTAGGAGTGATTGGATTGTTTACCAAGTTCATGCTCTTGAAGTCTGGCTCAGCAGTGAGTCAGTGTAACTTGGGGAGCATGGCACAGAAATGAGCTGTCAGCTTATTCCAGACCCATGTTGACTGCTAAGGATTTAGAGGATCCTCCTGAGATCAGCATCAGATTTTTACACTCCTTGCAATCAGCTGCAGAGAACAAGGCCTTGTCTCATGTTGCATTTTTTATTGCTCCCATATTTCAGCACCTGAATCTGTCAGACTTGTGTTGACTTGTGAGCTTAAATCTTACTCCTGCAGTCATCTGTCTGAACCTATGGGTACATGGAGAGACCTTGTGCAGTTTTAAGAAGAAAAGACCTTTTCCATCCATTGAATGCAGAATTTCATTAAGGACACAATGTGTGTTCAAAAGAGAACAAGGAACAAAACATTGGCCTTGATTTGCATAAAAATCAAAGTACAAGCTCTTCAGAAACACAACACATACTCATACATCACAGTTTAATTTTGTTTCCATGCAAAGTGAAACCTCTTTGTAGGAATTCTAATTTTTTGTTTTCCCTGAGATGCAAATTAGTTGCAGATCAGTAATATTTAAAAAATCCAAGGGAGGTGGCCTTTGAAAATTTCTGGAGTTTCATTACATTTTTATAGTGTTTTATAGAGCCATGCAATTCACATATATTTCCTAGTTTTCATATTTTGTAAAAATGTCTCTTGAAACTCTGCTGATAAGGCCAAGGACCATAGTTGGTTTGGATCTGTGGAAGATGCAAAGTTTTGCTTGGAGGTGTAAATCTCCCAAGGAGAGTAAACAGGAGCACTGGAAGAAACAGTCAGAAAACATCTCCTGGGCTGGACTTTGATTTCTGGTCCAAAGGCAGCAGCTTTACTTGGCATAGGCACCTCTTTAAACACTTTGTCACCAGTGCCAGAGGGAAGCCCCTTGTGCCTTCAGTATAACCAAAGTGCACAAGACCTTTGGGGCAGCAAAAGGAGCACCTGGAAACACTGTCAGAGCTATAGAGACAACGGCCATGGTGACTGAAGTTATTTTCTGTTGTTATAATGTAGCATATAAATTTTGGTCATTTATATTTTTAAACTCCTAGTAACCAAAGAGGCCTCTATTCCTTTCAAAAATCACTCTCCATAGCATTTAGAATGATGTAAATGATTACCACAGTCAGCAGTAATTATGTCTTGCCAACTTTTTGTGTCCTTTTTTCTCTGGCAGGTTGGGCTGAAGTCTGTAATAGAGCAATTTCCAGGCAAGCTTGATTTTGTTCTTGTGGATGGAGGCTGTGTCCTCAGCCATGGCCACAAGCAGCTGATGTGCCTTGCCCGGTCAGTTCTCAGCAAAGCTAAAATCCTGCTGCTCGATGAACCAAGTGCTCACCTGGACCCTGTGTATGTTTTGTTCATTTGTTCTGTTTTGTTCTGTTAATATGGAATAGGAAAACCCATGAGATAGCACCATCTAAGGAGATCTTTTGTAACTTGTGTGGCCTATTACTAAGCCTGATTTCAGTAATGCATGTTGGTAATTCTGTGCAGGGGGCCAGGGGAGCCTGGCTACAGCCTTTACTCTATGGCTGATAGGTTCTTTGACAGCAGAGGTGCAGCTGAGGCACCACAGAGCTGTGTACCTGAGCAAAGCTCTACAACCCACAGCCAGGCTATTAGACATGTGTGTTATGGGCCTGTGCAGTTATGGGCATGCACTCTGCATTGTTTGTTTGCCTTTCAGAACTTCCCAAGTGATCAGGAAGACCCTGAAGCACGCGTTTGCCAACTGCACAGTGATACTGTCCGAGCACAGGCTGGAGGCAATGCTGGAATGCCAGAGGTTTTTGGTGAGCATTTCTCATGGGCTCACTTACTGCTCTCTCACCACATTTGATGAACATGCAAAACACACCGAGGGGAAATGATGTTTTTCTGCATTGATGGGGGTCATTCAGGGCAGTTAAGCAACCTGCTCACTAGCAGAACTGCAGCAGGCTCCTGTTTGCTCCTTCACCTGATCTGTGACAGATGAGCTGGGTCATGTTCTGGAGGAGCAAGAAGGAAAGTTTCAACCAGAAGGAAAGTTGTGTAGATTATCCAGCTGCTGATCCAGCAGCTGGCGCCTTATATTTTTGATTGGCTGAGGAGATTCAGAAAAATCTCAGCATCTCACAGTTTTACAATTGCAAATGCAGAATCAGCTACACTTGAGCAATAGGAGGCTGCCTGGGGAAGAGGAGTTTCCCAGTATGTGATGATCAGAATTGCTGACTTATTTAAACAAGCCATGTAAATATTGCTTTCATATGTAATCAAGGGGACAAATTACCAGAGTCCTGGGGTATTCCCTTTGTTACATAAAAATGGTTAGTAAAGAAAAAGCAAGTTATGCAAATTTTTCTTAAAAATAAGGTTCTTCTCTCTTCCCAAGAGTATTTTTTTCACTCTTCTATGAGAGGGCATCTAAATTTTATTAGCAGAATGAAACATGGTTTTTGATGTGTATTTGATTGGATGCATTAGCACAGCAGGAGGAACAGTGCCTGGAGTTAAAGCAGGCTAGTCAGCAGGCAGGTTGTACATCCCTTTGGATGTGCTGCTCCTCGGTGTGTGCTGGACTCAGCCTCGCCCCCAGCAGGCAGGCAGCCTCACCTATGAAAACGCTTCCCACCCTCCAGACCACATTTTAGCAACAGAGATGCTAAAAGTTCTCTCCTGTCAGACCTGTGCCCTTACCAGAGATGTGCTGACATTGCAGTGCCAGTGAAGGAGCCTGATTTTTCCTTGGCTCCTGCCTGACAGAGAGACTGGCACAACCCTACAGGGTAAACTTATTGTCTCCTTCAAATAGAGGTGAGCAGTGCTTCCTTGTTTAGTGAGAAGAGAGCAAAGAAAAGCTGGCACCTTGCTGGCAGCCTCCTCTCTCTGCTTGTGATAGAAAAATTAACACTTTCTTAGCTGGGCAGTCTAGCAGTGCCAGGGAAATGCCAAGGTACTGGGAGATTTCAATAAAGGGACTCAGAGGTAAAACCAAGTCTCAAGGAGAAACCAGCCAGTGCAGCAGCACTTTGTAATTTGGGCAATAGACACCTTTTCCATGTGTTCAAATTTTAATGCATGTTTTTGTGGTTTTAATTAGAAACTGCAGACTAGAAATTAGAAATTGTTAGAAGATGTTTGCCATGTTTTCATGTCTCTTCCCTGCTCCATTAGTTGCTTTAGCTGAATTCTGTCAGCACCACCACTGCTCATCTGACAGAGTGATGTTTCTCCAGGTGATTGAGGACAATAAGCTGAGGCAGTACGAATCCCTTCAGAAGCTGCTGAACGAGAAGAGCTCCTTCAGGCAGGCCATCAGTCACGCTGAGCGCCTTAAGCTGCTGCCAGCACACCACAGAAACTCCAGCAAACGTAAACCCCGACCCCAAATCACTGCCTTGCAGGAGGAGACAGAGGAAGAAGTGCAGGAGACAAGACTGTGAGAAGCTGTGTAGAGACCTTTGGGGAGTGAATGGTCAGCAGTGCCCCACTGTGACAGGACCAGCCCTTCTGAAGCTGCCTCAGCCATGCACAAATTCAGCCTTCCAGGAGGTGTTTACTGAAGGGACCACATGAGCATGTGGGAATTGCTTCCCTTCTGTGGTTAATCATGTGCAAGTTAGCACACTCTTTGAGGCTTTGCCACTTACAGTGGTAAAACCAGATTTCCTTTGGAAAGCTGCTCTCATTGGATACAAACGAGATGGCAAGCAGAAGTAACCTGCCTAGCCTGACATAATTGTTTCAGAAAACCTTTAGAAAGGTTCTTGCTGGGGTGAGAGGACTAGACAGCAGGAAGAATGTGAAAAAAAAAATCAAACCTGTGTGGAAAATAGAAAAATCAGTATGTAAAAAACTTCTGTGGATTCACTTCCTGCAACTGAATTAAGGGACAATATCAGCAAGGCACACAGAAAACTTCCTCCTCTTTGTTTTCCATGCAGCAACTGTAATTTCAGCTTAGCAGGAAAGGCCAAATGCCACATGCATAGGTGAAAATTAAGGAAAAGAGGATATTGTCTTGGAAGCCAATCAACATCTGTCATGTCTCCACAGTTAAGGGAGAATTGGTATTTCCTCTGAAAACCTAGGAGACTGTTAACCTGACCCTGCACACACTCACAATTGGATGAGTGCAGGCTGACATCAGTATCTAGCAAAAGGTAGGACTCCTGGCAGTGAACCTGTAACAGTCTGTATAGGTCTGGCATCTTTATATGCTTTTAACTTTGGCCTAATGAAAAAAAAAGGGGGGAAGTAACCTCTCAGAAGTAGACTTTAATAATGAAATTAATTTTTATACTCTTCTGGTTTGCAGTTTTATTATGGAACTGAATGTTCTCTAGGATATTTTATTTATTTTAATATTGTTTCAAACTTTTGCTAAGGAAATTATGTATTTTAAGAGTGATTACGTACTATAAAGAAAAATATATTTGTACAAAAAGTTTTATATTTGGATTGTTGCAGGGATATTTTGCTACTAGACTTTGATGTCTCATTATGCTAGAGCTGTTGAAAACGAGGGCAGCCCCAGAGTTTGGCCAGGTACTGTCCAATGCTGTCTTTGTGCACTAAAGTATTCTAGTGATATACAGGTGTTTTAGATTATTTTTTTTTCTTTAAATAAATTTTTAAAAAGAGAAACCTCCTGTATGACACATTACAGCCCTCCCTGCCCCCCGTAGTGGGGCAGGCACTGGGCACCGAATCTGCTACTTCCACTTCAGTCCTTGCTGCCTATCACAAACACGGCTATAATTTTTAGCACAGCTCTGTCCTTTGGGAAGGCGGCGGCTGGAAGCGCGGCCCGGGCGGCGCTAGGTGGTGCTGCGGGCCTCAGACGCTGCGGCACGGCCTGCGCCAGGCCCGGCTCCCCTCAGAGCCCGAGCCCTGCAGCTGCCAAGGGCAGCACAGGCAGGGCTTGGACTGAACTCATTCAGGCTTGGGCTGAACTCCTTCAGGCTTGGACAAAACCCCTTCAGGCGTCCAGGAGCAGCAGCTGGCCTGGGCTGCCCCCGGCTGGGCGCTGCTGGAGGCGGCGCTGGGTGCGGCGGAGGCCGCAGGCACCGGGGCTCACTCTGGAGCTGCTCGTCCTTCGTCCCGCTGGTTTCCCTCTAGCTCTGTCCCCCTCTGCAGACCTTCTGGCCTTCATTACACATTTCCTTTGCAAATATTTGTTGGCGGATTTTTTCCTGCCCTGTCTCTCATACTGTACTTTTATGCTTGTCTATCTTTAGCACTTACCTGGGTCTCTTTCCTTTCTTTCTGTGGGGGACACCTTGCGCTGCCTGATTTTCTCCACAAAGCAGTGCCTCTTGCTTACTGAGCATTCTGCATACCCTTGGATCTCAATTTTGCCATGTCACTGTTTCTTTGCCACTAAGCTCTGCTTGATTTGGAACAATGGAAAACCAACTGTCTATTGAAGTAGCATCACTTTTGAATCCCATCTCCACTCCCTTTATCCCCTCAAACTGTTCACCTCACACTGTTTGTCCCTTTTCTGACATAGTCAGCTCTCCATTTGTACAAGTCTTTACAGAGTATATGACCAAGGCTGGCTGGGAGGCCAGGGCTGCTGAAGTGTGGCCAAGTCTAAGGAGGCGTGCCAAGGGTCGCTCTTGTTCAGGATGTTACTCAGAGTTACACCAAGTGGGGGAGTTTATAATCTAAATAAACAAGATGATCAGAAAGATCAGCAGAAAAGAACAGCTGTCATTAGCTTTGCAGCTGTCATTGCACAGCTTCAGAGCGTGCAAAACTGTTTATATTCGGTGTTGTTGTCAGAGTTAGAAGGTGGTAGGTAAGCTGGATTGAGCAGATGAGGATACATTTCAGGAAAGAAAACGATAAATACAGCAGGAGCATGTAGCAGATGCAACACATAGAAGCTGCTGATACAAACATTCAGAAGGAGGACTTTGAAGGAAAAAGGAAATCAGTTGACTGATGGCCTCCACCCTGGGCTACAACACTCACTGAAACAGCTTCTGTCATCAGTGCCCAGCTCCCACCATCACACTGCCAGTCCCAAAGAGCCCGGGCAAGATGCTGGCCTCTCAGGGCAACTGAGAGGAGAGTGTGCTATTTCTTTCAGTCCCAAACCAGTGCTTTAGCTCCTCTGGAGTTCAGGCTGGAAAAGGAGGTAAGTTAGTACCAGCTTCCATGAGGAGGATGACACAGCCTCTCCTTCCCAACACAGGTTGAGCAGAACACGTTACCTTCTAAAGTAAGTGTTCTTGTACCTGCTGTCAGAGGGTGACAGCTCCCAGGGATGTTTGTCTGAAACTAATGTGGGAAGTTGCACATGCTGTTCGTGATGGAAAATGGAACACAAGAGAGAAGGGAGAAAATAAAAAAAGAAGCAAATGAGGCCATAAACAGTGGAAGAACAAACAAGGACCTTCATAAACACAGGCTGAGCAGTACTTAAGAGAATTTTTTCTTCTCATGTGCTTTGCTTCGCATGCATTTGATGAAACAGATATAAAAAATACTCTTACCAGAGCACTTTTTCATTAAAACCACCTATACAGAAGTGTGGGTGTGTACAACATACAGCCACAGAGAAGAGCATGCTGACTTTAATACTAGGTATGGAGATCTCATTTTGCAGCCTGCTAACAAAAAACGTTGAAAAGAGATTCTGTAGCTGTCCTTAAGCACAATGTAGAAGGGTGTCCACACTGCTATTATAGCACTAAGAAGCTCTTGGGAGAGCAAAGGCTAAGCAAGGATAGCCTAAACAAACTTGAACTATGCACACTTATCCATTATCATAAGTCTTATATACAAAATAACTGCACAAAGTAGCTTGATAATTGTCATTAGTGGGAACTGCTCAGTATCTCACTGGAGTCAAACAAGCCTGCTATTCCAACAAACAACTTTGTTTTCACAGTTGCTTAACTGGTGTCTTACCAGCTGTGCTTTATTCATTAAACATCCATTTCCAAAGTCTTTCTAAAAATCCACCTCCTCCAGTTCTGCAAGACTCAAATCTCTCAGGCTGTTATTTCAGAGCTGCTAAACACCCGATAGCATTTACACTTTTTGAATTCTACCTACCCTGTTTAAGCAACATGCTTAAGTAATTTTTTAGCAACTTTAGGCCTTTTAAAGCATTTTCTTGTATTAATTGTTGTTAATTGCTGGAGGTAATTTCAGAACTACAAAATTTGTTTGATTTTATTTACCTAAAAATGTTCTGGTGATTATTTTTTTCCTCGTTTTTCCATTATAGATTTGGTATTTTTGGTTTATAATTACTTGGCTATGATTTAACATTTGGAAAAAAATCCACACAACTTTAGAACTGATGTACAATTGTTCATTAATGGACCATTAGTTGCTGTCCAAAAACCTCTTGCAAATTAAGCAATACAATGCAATACAGTAATTAGTTTCCTTTACAAACCCCCGTGTTCTCTAAAACCAATTTCCTGTTCCTAGGATAAACAATATTTATACCAAGTTCATTACCCAGGGCTCACTTCAACCTCAAAATACACCCCTTGTAAAATGCAGCCAGAGGTTTCTGAGTGATACTACAGCCCAGTACCACCATACCTTGTGCTCCCTTAAAGTCACTTCTTCAAGTTTCTTGAAGAATAGCTCACTTAGTAATTCTCAGGTCTCTTACCTATGGTTTGAGCAACATAAACATCATTTTAGCCAGTTATGACCAAGAAAGTGATCCTTCATCCTTTCTTCAAGCATCTTCCACCACCAGAGGCTGTTTTGCTTCTCCAGTTCTACTGGAAAGCTGGAGGGTTTTGGATGTATATTGTAAATCACTTGAGCTGTATTACAGGAAGAGATGTGCCTCAGGCCTGCTGGTTTTGCTGTTGCTGATCAATGTTGCTGCCTTTGTTGCATGATGGAGAAGGTTTCTTCATGGTTTAATTTTGGAGTTCATACTCAGCAACCCAATAAAAAAAGGCAAATATTGTCTGACGGACTCAGACATTCACTTACGGAAGACCGTCCATGTTCTTGTCAAGAAATAAGAACCATTGGGGAGATGCTGAAAGCTTTTATTTTCAGCACTGGCTTGAAGAGATGAGCTGGCATGTTTAGTACTTACCAGAGCAGATGGATGAGAAGCATCTTTCATGTTTCTTTGGTTGAAGACATTGAGATGGGTATAAAGAATGTAGTATAGTCAGATGAGGGCTAAATTATAAATAAGTCTTTCACTGCCCCAGTGGCCTGTCAAATGGATTCACCAGTAGAAGCTTCCCTATACCTTCTGAGATACTCCTCCATGGAGATGGGGCCTCTCTCTTCACTCACCTCTTTCAAAGTTATGGGGTAATAGCTGGGAGCAGATGCAGCATGGATGGGTGTGGCTCACCACAGCACACTCCAATCCTCTCTGCTCGAGACACAGGAAGCAAGGAAGAGAAAGGATTTTGCCCATTACAAACCTGAAGTGAGAGTGCTGTTTGTAGCTGTTTGTAGCATCACAGGAAGAACCTGAAGACACAAGTGAAACCCTGAGCTCATGAACAGAGGCTGGCCTTGCTTCAGC